CGCGATTTTGAATATGGATTTGTGATTGTTTTATGCTTGCTTGGATTCATCTAATGTTTTTTTCGCAGTCTCTCGAGGACTCAGCAACAGCAGTGAAGAGTATGGTGTTGCTGTTGGTGTCAACTTTACTTTCCCTCCAGCCTCTAGCTTCGACTACTTCGAGTCCATCTGACGTACAGAAGGAATGACAGCGACTCTGAATGGCGCGAAATTTTTTTCTTTTATTACAGTCACATGTTCTAGGAAAGAGCTTTCTGGCACATTTGTTCTTGATGCCGAGCCCACTTGGATGCATTTCGGAGCAATTTCGTCTTTCCTTGCAAAAACGATTCGGTGATGGCATGTCGTCGTCGTGCAAGGCTATCGTCATCATCATCTTCAGATGTTGGAAGGACTAGCAGTGTACCCCCAGCATCATGAGAATCGAATCGAAGTGAATCGGCTTCTTTGTCACATGCATCAGCTATACATCGCCAGACGTCACCGTCCGACGGTCGATTGTCAGTGCTAAAGGCCACTGGCTCGGAGATTTCAATGGCCTTGCGGATAGTCTCTAATGCGGTCGACTCGTTCTCGATACGTCCATCGCCACGGGTAAGGATGGGGACCCCTTGGACCGTAATTATATTGGCGTCCAAAATGCTTGGGATGAATCCCCACTCAATCAAGAAGTCTTCCCCTATACTCTTTACACCATGAAGATAAGAATGGGCAACCTCTGAATTTGACTCATGGATTTCATGGGCAACCCAACAAATGGCTGTGCTTGTTCGGCCCAACACATGCGCTACGGGGGGGAAATTGATTTTTGTTTGTCCCGGCGATTGTGATAGCGATGATGATTCAGGGTCAATGTCGTAGCTCAAGCTCGTTTCTTGGTGGTTCAAATCATCGACCACCGGTAGAAGCGCGATATCGTTACCTTCACCATTATTCGGAACCGAATAATCTCCTGCAAACGCCCTGGTTCGCACAATGTCCAACGCCCAATCGAATTGTTCTCTGGAAACGTCAGAATCGGATTGCAAGCTTTCAAACCATTCCACATCCATTTCCGCACGCTTTACTATTATTTCCACAAGTCCTGGTGATTGGAGTGCTGTAAGCTGCGCCTGGGTCCACCTGTCCAGTGTATCACATCTTGCCCTCCCTGGACCCGAGATTGGTGGCAAATGATCAATGTAGCCTTTGTAGGTAGATGCTTCGCCCTTTTTATGTTCACTGAGTAGTATACAGGCGAGCTTCAATTTCTGATGGGCTTGATTCCATGCTTTGTCGCAGAGTAGGTCTGGGATTGGACTAATAACAACATTGTTGTTGTCGGCATCGTCATCATGCAGAACGACGATTGCCGCTTCCACTGGCAAAACAATGGCGCATTCTCCTGATGCCAGACTCGACGTGGAGCGTACGCTGATACCAGGGATACCTTCTTTACATGTATGCTCTAGCTTTTGTTTTTCAATTCCAATGGAAGTACACCAATCATCAAACGCAGTCGGCGCAATCCTGATGCTCGTCCTGCTACTTTCTGCTGGCGAAGAGATCTTGCCTGCTTGCCTTCTTCTTTGCAGGCTTGGAAACTGCCAACCTAAACTTGACCCTACAAATATTGCATGTAATACAAGGTAAAAATAGAGTTGAGGTAAAGAAGTCATTTGGTGTGTGTCTTATGCCCATGGTTTTTTGGTTGAACCAAGGACGTTTTCCACAACAAAATCACAGATCCAACATGGCATGAAACATTTTATTTGTGACGTTTCGGAAATCGACAAGCGACATTTTTTAACGGTTCAACGAACTAGGTTTCGTTCGACTACTTTGAGTGAGTCAATGTGACGTACACGTACGTACAGAAGGAAGGACAGCAATTTTGAATAGCGCGAAGTTGACAGGTCGACGAACAACAAACAACACTCCTCCCTACAGTATCGCTCATCATTCCTACAAAGACACTAATCCACCATTATCAATTCATACTAGGTGTCCCAAGAGTGTCAACTCACGTCCAAAATTACCCACTAAAAGCAACCACAAAGCACAGAATGCCATCCTCGGTCAGTCTTCCCCCCATTGCTCAGCACAATCCAGCAATCCATGTTTCCAATCCAACGCAAACTGCAATTCCTTCCATTCCATTGGCTGAATTGCCACTACGACCTTCGACATTGTCATTACTAAAAAAGAGAGGCTTTGTCACCACGGCCGAATTGGAAGATGCCCGCGTCAATCAAGGTATGGCCACATTGGCCGCCGAATTGGATTTGTCGCTCCAAGACACTGCCAATCTCTTGGTGGAAATTCAAGGTTGTTTGAGAATCAATGGCGATGAAGACAGTGGCAACAATAACAATAACAATCAAGCAGCAACAGCAAATACATCCATTGATACATCGGTCGCCATTCCTCCCATTTCCAATGCCCGCTTCTTACTCGAAACCAGTGAGAATGATCGAAATCACATTGTCACCTTTTGCCAAGACATTGATCAACTCTTGGGAGGGGGGATTGCATTAGGACAACTCACCGAAATTGCAGGTCTACCAGGAACCGGCAAGACCCAATTGGCCATGCAATTGGCCGTCTTGAGCAGATTGCCCAAACTCTTTGGTGGTGTTGGAGGCAAGACACTCTATATTGATACGGAAGGAAGTTTTGCACCGGAACGTTGTGCTCAAATGGCCACTGCCTTGAGACAACACATTCAAGGAACCAACAAGTACAAGCAATCTATACAGCAGCAACAACAGTCTTTGCAACAACATGATATTCTTACCGAACGAGACATTTTGGAATCCATTCAAGTCTTTTCCGTCCATGACGAAGCCTCTCAAACGGCGACCCTTCAGAATTTGCCACAATACCTGGAAGATACTAGTAATGATACAGTGCCCGTCAAACTGATTGTCATTGACAGTGTCGCCTTTCATTACCGGGCCATGCTGCCAACCACGAATGCCAAGTCCAAATCGTCCAAATCGAATAGCTACCAGTATTATGGACAGCGAACCAAGTCCTTGATTAGTTTGGCGGGATTTCTAGCGGATTTGGCACGACAGTACCACTTGGCGGTAGTCTGTGTCAATCAAATGACTACCAAAATTGGTATGCAAGGAGGGGGCAACAACACAAGCAACAACAACAACAACTCGGTCTTGGTACCAGCCTTGGGGGAGTCGTGGGCACATGCCATTACCACTCGACTACTACTCTCGCAACATCAACAAAACGGTGGTAGTGACAGCAATCGACAATTGCGGACGTGTCAGCTAGTCAAGTCGCCACATCGACCTTCGGGGATGGCACACTTTCAAATACTGCCCCAAGGAATACGAAGGGCCAAGACGATTAGCATTGCTAGAACAAGAAATATAAGTAGCAGTCAGGGCAATTCACAAGCATCCCAACAACCTCCAAGTCAATACCAGCCACCAGCGCCACCACCAAGACATCATCGACGACCCATTCAAAAGCAAACGACGCCACTCGCACCACCACCACAGCAGTCGCTACGTCGACCATTGCAGCCACACAATCTCAAGACTCCTCCATCCTATTCTATCAGTACTACTTCTGCTGCTGCTGCTGCTGCTGCTGCTGCTACGCCAACAATGCCTCCTTCACGAGGGAATAACAATGCTCCTCGTCGACATCATCATCCACAACATCATCCACATCGCCATCCCTACCAGAATCCCTACCAGCATAACAACAGCACCAACAACAATGGAAATTACAATCGGGTACCCATTCCTACTCCACCACCCAATGGAGTACCGCCGCTCCGACAACCACCCAATCATCATCATCATCATCAAAATGTTGTTCGATCCACGCCCAACCATGCTAATGCTGCTGGGACCAATCATTATAATCCAAAAAATGATGGTGTTGGCAGCAGCAACAACGACAACAACAACCACAACCACAACCACAACAACAACAACAACAACACTCCTCAAAACCATCAAAATCAGCGCATGGTAACGCCTCATCCAACTTCCAATCCACCAACAACAAAAATGAATCATCCGTCATCCAATCCACCCAGTCTCAATGGTCTCAAACGAAGAAGAATTTTGTGATCAAAACGAGAGAGAGATGGTATGCTGGCTGAGCCTACGAGTACTCGATAGATCGACATACTGTAGAATCTACAATTACACAATAGAAGAAAAATATAAAAGAATTCCAAATCAAAATGCCAATCAGTTGCATTCTAGTTATTTAGGACTACTACAGGTAGAGTTTATCATGGTTTACTTTTTGGCAGCACCCTTCTTCTTCTTGTCTTCAGCTTTCTTCTCTTTATCATCCTTCTTCTCTTTTTTCTCCTTCTTCTCGGCAGCAGCATCATCTTCCTTCTTTTCTTCTCCTTCTTCTTCCTTGTATTCAGTTCCATCTTCTCCATATCGAATGCGATTGTTAATCAAATCATGAAGAGCAATGACGGATCGAATCAAGGAACTCAGATAAATGGCCATGTGCATATCATTGGTCTTGATCATCATGGACCGGACCATTTCGTCCGTATTCAAGTTGGGCAACAAATTCAGAATGGTTTGCAAATTTGACACAATGTCGGGATTGACCTTGCATTCGCCACGGACACAGGATTCCAAATAATCCTTGCATTCGACCAATTTCTCAGTCAACGTGGCCAGACCTGAAATCTTGCCCTTGATCAAGGATGCTACCGTACTGACAGTAGGGTCATTAATTTCTCTTAGCAAGTGTTCCACACCAATTTCTTCAGCTTCTTGAGCTCCCATGACAGTTGGAACGTGCGCAAAAGTCATCTTGACCAGCCGTTGTCCATCCTTGGTAGAGACTTCTTCCACCACCTTATAGGCAGTCGTGGGCAAGGAGTCTCTTCCAGGCCGAATGTCAATGATGCAAAAGACTGGAGCCGTAATACAGGTGCGCGGCAAGAATCTTTTGACAATGTCGTGAATTCTCAAATCGTTCGGTCGGATGGTGGGACCTGTAGAATAAAAGCCAACGATGCGTTCCTTGGAATTGACTTTGCGGTATAATTCGTACATGCTCTCCAAGTAGTTGTGATCCAAATAAAAGACAGACTGAAGATATCAATAGAAAAAAGAAAGAGATAGGGAGAAAGTAATAGATGGGTCAGTACAGGTGTATTGCATTGTATATCGAGAGTGCAGTCAGTGAACCCCAGCAATGATGTTCAATGTTAACCCAGTTAAGAGCAAAACTCCAACCAAATACAGTGGTGCTTCTGTTTGAACAGCTCCCTTGTGAATACCATCGATTGTCTCTGCATTCTCGCAATACGTGCGTAACGAACGTAATAAAGTAAACTCACAGGATTTCTCGAATCTTCTTCAAATGGAACTGCAAACGAATTGGTACAATCCACCTTTCCCTTGTGGACACTTCCCAAAAGAACACCCACCACACGCTTTCGTGTTCCACGGGCGACACGGTGATAGTGATCAGCCACACTCAGTAATACCAGAGGATGCATGGTAACTTCGTCAACATTTCCCAGCAGAGGAACCTCCTTGATGACTTCCTCTTCATCGTCAATGGCCATGGTGGATGTCATATTGATTTGTGTTGTCTTTGGTTTATTTATGGAATGCACGAGTGTAGCAGTTGATGGGATTGAAGGGTATGTAAATCTGACTGTCTACTGTCTATCAGCAATGGAACGATTGTTGTGTCAATTCAAATCCGATGGATAGAGAGGTAGCGTGACAATATTGAAATGCACAGTATTGCTTGGAAGTTGTTGTTGCCCAAGTCGTCCTGGTCAGATTTGAAGGATTTGAAGCGAAGCAAATCGAATATTGACTGACTCGAATGTGCAGGTACAGAACGAGTCTTTTGGGTCCATTGAGTCGTCGCATGAAGACTGGAAACACAAACAAATCATCCACTGTCACTCTCTAGAAGCAGTTCGTAGTAGCCCTAGCACTAGAACATTCTATACCAACAACGACGCAACAAGTGATCCATCAACTCGTACCATGGTCTTTCTACATCTTTTCATTGTCAATAAATCTGGTGGTCTCATTCATCACCGTGCTCTAAGTCCCAAAGCTCCCCAAATTGGCACCAACGAATGGTTGCGCATTGGATCCACCTTTCATTCCTTGTATGCGATTGCCAATGAGGCCTCGCCCATGAAATTATCTCAAAACAAGAACGTGAGTGGAGCGGATGATGGAATTGAAGAAATTCAAGCGGATGGGCTGGTGCTACGGTGTTTGCAAACGAGGACGGGAATCAAGTTTGTAGTCACGTGAGTACTTTTATTGCTGTGATTGTTGTTTGGAGAAAACCCAATGGAAGAAAACTCACTCATCCACTCTCTCTCTCTGTCTCTCTCTCTCTCTTCTTTCAAGTGCGGAACCGGGGACAAGTGATATTGATCAAGTCCTCCGCGAGATTTATATTTTGTACACCGATTGCGCCTTGAAGGATCCCTTTTACGAATTGGAAATGCCCATTCGGTGTGAACTGTTTACTACCTCGGTGGATGCGTTGATTCGAACGATGGAACGGTCCGCACGTCTAGGAATTCGATAAAGCGAAAAGAATGAAAGAATGGAAACTGGTACTAGGAAGGCGCCATGGCATGTACAGTAGAACTAATGAATAGGTATTATACTAGCAGTAATAATAATTTACACAGTCATCTATCGACAGTCTAAATTTATAGTCTATTTTTGGTCACGTGATTGATGTGGATGCCGTCGGATCATGTGCACATTGTTGGAAATCAATCAATCAATTCACCATTCGTCTTGCATGTCAAGAGATTGGATTGATGGAAGTGATGGTGACTGCACATACACACACAGTAGTCTTCAGCAATCGGGTTGGAAAAGCTACACTTCTCCCACTCGAGTTGAATTCTGTCCTTGACGGCCAAACCAATCACTAATTTCGGTGGTCAAACGTTCGTTTTCACGTTCCACTAAGGTGTATCCTTCCACAAACCGAGAAAAGAAGCTCTTGGGCTTCTTGGTTACCTCTTTACGGGTCCTCTTGAACATGGAAAGACAATTCTGCAGCGTGAGCATTCTCTGTTTCTTCTTGATTTCTTTTTCTTCATCCGTTTCGATAATGCCACTGAGTTTTTTTTCGCGTCTGGCAATCTTCTTGTTCTTGCGAGCAGCTCGCATACCTTCCTTGACACGATCCAATGTAATGATAAAGGTTCGTTGCGGAACTGTGAAGGCAAGGTAGTGATTTCCCAAAAAGCGACCGGGTCGCAAGACAGAAGTCATTTCCAATCGAAGTTTACCATCCTTGATAAAAATGCGCTTCAACCGATTGTCTTCGCCCATGTCGTATCCTGCATTCTCATCCTCTACTTTAATGGGAGAGTAAATGGGAAAGAACGAGTAGATTGGTTCTGGTCTTGGCGGTCTTGGTTTTCCCAATTTGTCAAAAATTGGGTACAATCTGTATTTTAAAATGAAAAAGAAGAGTACAATTGTATAAATGGTCAGTGTGCTGAGTTTCTTTCCTTCTTCGCATCTAACAAAATGATCACATAAACTTACGCATTCTCAATTCCTTTGGGACATTCAAATACAAAGGCAAGCTCTGGTTCCACCAGTTTGATGTTCTGACCATTCCTTCCAGTGCCAACCTTGGTACGCAATTTGAAAGTCTGGGTAATGATTGGGGCCGTGGGGCTCGATCGGATTTTGGCCCGACCTGTAATGACCATTTTATCATTGCTGTCAAACTCTACATTGGACAATCCCAAAACCTCCACTAATGGTGCAGCCTTCGTGTTGAGTCTGTATTTTCGCCCAAAGAAAAGAGCGCCATCCACAACATCCCGAAATGATCTAGTTCGTACTCGCAAGGTACGAGCCACTAGCAACTTCAGTCCGGCATCCAGTACAAAGGAACCCATGACATCTTCTCGTGTGAACGCGCCATTAATGGTCACCGAAAATGGTTCCAGAATCAAGGGACCGCCGGGAGCAATTTTCTTCACTAGTGGTACTCCACCAAAGACCAATCTCCTGAGGTCGATTTTCAGATTGGACAGTACAAGGGAGCCATATTCCTTGACGGGAGGTAATTCTGGTTCCGGGACAGCAGTCTTGTTGCGTCGGACAGCGGAAGCAACTTGAGTCGCCTTTTCTGCTGCTTGTGCCGCAGTGTACGATATTCCTTGGGTGGCCTTTTCTGCTGCTTGTGCGGCTGTGTTTGATATTCCCTTTGATATCGACTTCACTGAATTACTCATGGCCTGAAGTGGGCCATCGCCTTTTGTTGCGTTTACTACTTCTAGGATTTTTTCTTCTTCTTCAACTTCCGAGTTCAATCCAGCCATGTCTTCGACCATTTGTTGGTATTCCTCCCGATCTACAGCACCATCGCCGTTGAAATCGTAAAGACCCACTAGCTTTGAAGCAAGGTCGCCCACAGAGTCTTTGTCAGTTGTGATATCGGATATCAGGCTCAAGGCTTCTGCAAGTTCTTCTTGATCCAATGTTCCACTGTTGTCTTTGTCAATTCGGTCAAAGGCGTCGTCAGCAGATTCAATCAAAGACAGCTCCCGATCATCGTCTCCTTCTTGAATTTCGTTTCCGCCAAGTCGAAGAGGCTTGAAGCCAAGGCGTGAAAAATTGATTCGTAATTCCTTCACTTCCTTTCTCCAAAATGGAGAGTCTGCGACCGTGGATATATCAATGTCAAGATCCTCATGTTCCTCTGCTAGAGCATTGATTAGTCCCATAAAGGTTCGCTCCACCAATCGCCTTCCTTCGCTTGTTCTAGCCTCTATTTGTGCATCGCTCAGCAATGAATTCAGCTCGGATGCTGTTTCCCGACGAATTCCTTCCTCCAAGGTGCGGGCGTACCGCCGGCTCCACAAGCTCCGCGTGGTTTGGGCTTCTGCTACAGTCAGATCTCCAGTCGTTAATTCAAAATTGTGTCCATCATTAATGACATTGGTGTCAACATCTTTTTGATGATTGGTCTCGTTGAGAGTCACCGGTGGTGGTAATTCTCGCACCGATGCTGTTTCCTTAGCTTTTTGAGGCGCAATATACCTTTGCTCTGCTTTCTTTTTGTTCATTGACTCACTTCGTGGTACCGCAAATCGCAGTCTATTGTTTACCCCGTTGTTAGTCGGTGTTGGATATTCTTGTGTGACTGCATCAGGTACAGTGCTAGCCGTTGCTGTCGTATTCTTCACACTGGCAATCTCGTCCAACTGAACCGAGAATCGAATTATAGAATTGGAGGATTCCACTCTACTTCTCTTGCGTCCTTGAAGTGGCCGTCGACTGTAGCATCCGGAACGAGATCTGGTTGGGGGTGATGTCAAGACTTCTACTGGAACATAGGACAAGGATTCTCTGCAGCTCAATAGGAGGAGAAGGATTCCACCATGTTTCCATCTAGAGGTCCTGGTGATGGTAACCTGTAATGGTTCCCGCATGTTTAATGGGGTTGTTTAAGTGTTTGAACACTCTTGACGTTCTCTTTCTTCAAAAGACGTAAGCAATCGTGATATCTGCTTTTGAAATACGTTTGTACTTGGTGGCAAGAACATGAAGGGTCAATTTCATTCGTTGAGGTCGATCTTAGACATCTCAAGGCTATTCTGATGGTTTTGATTCGCCGGGCCGTTGAGGATGGAGAAAGACAACGTATGCACTTTCTTAGTCTCTAATTTTGAATCTTTGACTCTTCTCTCACACGTGCTGCTTCATTCAGCCATACGCATAAACCAACAGTTTTAATGGTCCTATTATTGGAATATAAAAGCATAACACTTCTTAGTTGTATTGTTCTGTCGCATCTGATGATGAAACTACTTGTTTCCCGAGTTTGATTTTTGAAAGTGCCTTCGGGCATAAAAAAGTCCTTCTAACACTCTTCTCCATAGTGTGAGCGAATGGTGGAGATTGAGTCTATGTATGCATTCATTCGTTGCTCATTGACATTGATGGCACCATTCCTTCCTGTTTTTAATACCATCTGATAACTCAAGTCACACGACGTGCTTTATCTTGGCAATGCTCTAAGGATCATCATATGCACATTTTTAGGCTCTGTTTTTTCTTTCTGTGCTAGATTGATTCATTCGTGGATAAGTGCCTTGAGACTGGAGGTGCAATCTTCTCATACCTCGACCCCATTATGTCAGAAACCATACTCTTTTCATTTTTTCATGCCGCCTGGTAGTAGGTAGCCATCAAACTAAACATCAAGGACTGGGTATTCAGATCTCAAATTTATGATTCGGCGGAGTGTAGCAAAGAGTCCATGCAACAGTGGCAAAAGGCTGAAGAGGATGATGACAGAAACAGCAAGAGTGGCGTAGGAATCGGCGTCAGATCCTTCCACGCTATCAAAGCAAAATGCAATGAAAGCTGCAATCAAGACAGCAACACTTCGAAGCGTATCAGCCATGACATGCTACAAGTTGAAAGAGCACGTGAGTTGTCACATAGACACATTGTATCTGGACAATAAAATAAATTTGCTTACCGTATAGGCGCTGCACATATTCAGGTTTAGCGCCATCCTGGGTTTTCTCGACTGTTCTTCTTCGTCTATAGCGTATAGATCGAACGTTGGGCTACCATTGGGCAAAAGATTCGCATTTTCTGACACTTCCTCCTCCTTACTGGTAGAATAGTGAATTTGTTCTTTTTCCATCTCACTGATACCATAGGCCTGATGAGCATTCGCAAAGCAACCGACATTGAAAACATCGAGTAGCAAGTTTCCGAAAGAGAATGCCAACATTAATCCCAAGTTCACAGTATCGTACAGAGGACTTGAAAGTGATTTGATGGCACCTCGAGTCGCTGAAAATGTTACAACCATTAGTATTGTTGCGCTGATCAAGGGTGGAAACAATTCCAAGTACAACCGAAGTCGTTCTCGCCGATACGCAAGAAGTTTCGGATGCATTGAACTTGCTTCATCTTCGCTGAATGAATTTCTCTTAAGCCGTTCCGCAATCAGATTGAACAGGTATGTCAAGCTGTCCACGATCATAGCTTCGCAATCAGTCATCATCGCTGAACTGTTGGCAATAACTGCGAAGAAAAATTGCGTTGCTGTGAAAATTACAAAACTCCAAAATGCCACTCCAAGCGCGTATTCATTGGAAATTGATTTTTCTGGCTTTTCTGAATCTCTTTCTGGCGCTCTCTCAGCACTGTCCATTGTCGAATTGTAATTCTGATAGCCGCTTGTTCTTTCTTTCTCTGTACGGGGTGACGTCTGCCCCATGGTTACTGTCAATGACAACATGGCAAGAAAGAGTCAGTCGTCGGCTGATGTTTTCTTTTGTATTTGCGATTGTTTCATTTATGGTACGACACAGCTGCGACTTTCCATTGATTTCCATCGCACTTACGCACTCGGTTGCAGACACCCGCAGAGTATTTCAACCAGGCCCGATGGCAATTTAGAGAGTAATTGAAATATTGTAGAGACTCCAATAGGATTCTACAGTAACTTTTAATCCAGCTCGCATACGAGTTGTGGCCAGCTCGTCGAATGCTGACGACGTTTAGGTATGATTTGTGCACTATCATACCATTATTCAGACAGGCCCATGCTGTGTGCTGGTGCTGCGTGCTGCTGGTGCGGATCCATGGGCTGAAGTGAAACGAATACAACGAGTTCGACGACACCATTATCGAGGCTATCCAATTGGTCGCTTTGCGTCTGCAATTCCCAATTCAAGCATAACCATACAACATTGAGAAAATTTGCAGTGTGGCTTTTCTTCTCGGGATAGGACGAAACTCTTGAGAATAATTGTATGAAGAAGCCTTAAATCGACAAATTCGCCAAGTTTGACAAAAATGCAAAGCAGCCCTGCTCTACTGTATCTTAAAACGCTGATTCTATTCATGGACGGAACAAAAGTGTTGTTCTATGTGTCAAATCATCTCCCTTCTTTTGAATTGTCTCTATGTTATGCCGTACCCATGCGATCGTATCTTTCTATCTCCGTATCTTGTAGCTGCATCCGCTTATACATCAATAGTTGGAGTTGGAGCTTTCAAAGCAATAATCTTCTTGCCGGTAATTACAAGTCCTCGTAGTAAGGGCAAGAGACTGATAAGAATGATCACTGAAACGACAATCGTTGCAACTGAATCAGCAATAGAGCCCGTGACACTTTTTACACAAACCGCAATGGCGGCAGCAATGAGAACTGCTGCACTACGAAGGGTATCCGCCATGATGTGCTGAACAGAGACTGTTAGACGAAGACTAGACTTTGCACAAACACCATACATGTCCAACTACGAGTCCAACTTACCGTCCATGCACTGCACATGTTTAGATTAACAACAAAGTCGTTTTCGTTGTCATTTTCATCCGACTTCTTGCTTCCCAATAATCGTTGCTGTTCTGTCATTCTGTTGGCTTTTGGACTCGAAAAGGCAGCAGACTCCTTCCTGACGGTTGACATCATTCCATATGCTTGATGCGCCTTTGCAAAGCAAGCGACGTTCAAGAAATCTAAAAATAGATTTGCGAGAGAGAACCAGAACATCAAACCGACGCTGACGTCTTCATTATCCTGGCTACGATCCATCAGAGACGCTGAGGCTTCTTGAGTTGCTCCCACAGTAACATAAATAAGGGTCACAACACTGACCAGTGGTGGAACCAATTCGAGATATAACCTAAGCCTTTCTCTACGATATTCAAAAACATTGGTCGGCAGCAGCTTCTCTTTGTCACTAATTGGTCGATGCTTAACTCGCTCCGCCACCAAATTGAATAGATAAGTAAGGGCATCAACTGACATTGCCAATGCGTCCGTCAACATTGCTTTTGGGAACAGGTAGAGTAAAAACCATGAGAATACATCAACAATTACATCGAGAAACTCATCGAAGTCGCATGCTCACCTTGAGAGCCTGCTATTACCGCAAACACTGCCTCAGTCGCCATGAAAAGAACAAATGTCCAGAAGGCCACACCCAACACATACTCATTTGTTGTTTCTCCCTCGCCATTCGTGTTCATGATACCATCATTCTCTATGGCATTTTCCCGTACAGCATCCGTATTTTGATAGCTATTCATCGTCAGGTGTCAGAGGATCTTCCAAATCGATTGGGGTTGGTATTTCACAAACTCTGTTAAGAATCAACAGAGATGGAAGCAATCAACAACTTATGGGAGCCTAATCAACACATCCAACATGTAGACGTCATTAGCTCCACCATTACAGACGCCTGTCCACCACCCGAGCACGTGGATTCTATCCCCTCCCCCGATTCATTCTTTTGAACTTTCACTGAATAACGTCCCGGAACGTCGGACGTCCGTGTGACTCACCACTACCGTCGTAGAAAATGCACTGAAATCCGTTACATTTGGAGATCGTTGGCCTGTCAGGTGTCCCGAACACCAGAAAGAAAGCCGCTTTCAAGACTCAGATGAGAAATCATCGTATCAAAAAATCGGTGGATAGTCGTGATCCGCCAAAAACCAACCTACCGGTAGATACAGGAACCAACCAAGGTATCATCGGCGAGAGAGCAATACAGCCGATTGAACTTTATTGTAGAAAGAATAGACAAAGCAATCACCACTAGATTGTGCTGAAAATTAACTTAAATCTTTGAAGCTATTAACGATAATGGCGACTGAAGACGTTGAAACCATCGAATTTCAGACTAGTGTCATCATTCCTGAAATTGTGACTGCGGGAGAATCGGCTCAGGGAGAACTGTCTCCAAAGGGCCTAGCAGAGCAACTGGAGGAAGCAAAGTTGGACGCCAAGAAATCTGCAGAAGCTCTAGATGATCTTATTTCTGGGGTTCGCGCTGTGAAACGAATTCTTGATAAACATGCAGGTGATGAGAAAGCTTCTATGAAAGAATCGACAACAAGGGACGCAGAGCTGATCGCGCATCTTTCTAATCAGCTCCCTGGGATTCTTGGTTCAGATTTGATGGCACTTGTAAATGCTGCTAATATGGCACGGGGGCACGCCAAACTGGCATCTGATGAAGCAGAAGCCGCTGTATCTGAAATGCAAGAAGCCAGAAAGGAAGCTGAGGAATCCAACACAAAGGCACGCACTGCTGCAAAAATCAGCAAGAAGCTTTATGAGGATAATCTTGCACTTCAGCAGCAGGTTGGTCATCTCAAGAAAGAAAGGCGGACTCTCGTAAAGGCAGTAAGGGATCTTCAGCAGGAACAGGAGCAAACCAACAAATTTGATACCTGGAGGCTTCTGGAAGAGCATGTACAAAACAGCTTGACAATGCATGAAATGATTCTCAAAACACCAACTCGTGGTGCTAGACAGAACTCGTTTTTTGATCCTGCTCATGAAAGTACAAGGTCGATGAGCGATGAGGATGGTTCCAACTACATCAGTGCTTCGTCTGTCGAGAAGCCAGAGAAACCAAAGAAGTTTGGTCGAATATCTCCTACTCCGACTGCTAGCTGTTCCGAGGACTCAATGAGCTACCACAAACATGAGGGCCATTCCACACCATCAAGATCTTTCGAGGATCAAGAAAATGTTGGCATGCCAACGGATGTTTCCTTGATCAAGCGACGACCGACTTCTCCGCTGGGAACACCAATAATATCACGAGAGGGAAATGGCGCTGAGAGCCAAGAGTTGAAGCCAATTTGTGATCCACAGATTCTTAGAACGCTGGCGATACCTGGGGACGATCGAGTAGGCGGGCCAGATTTGCCATCGCCCAGAGTTCGAGTTGCACCGGGGCTGTACGAAGTATAAAGACCAATTGGGCCTCTGCCATTGCTACTGTTTTAAAACTCGTTCAGAACGAACTCTAGAACGTCACATGGAATATAATACACAATACATCCATTTCTTATCATTTTATCAAATTTATGCTTCAGCTAGCTCAACTATTGGCACTGAGCTCTTTGCAAGCATCAACCATATCCCAAGCAGCTTCCGCCTGTCCATTGCACTCTTCCAGGCGTTCGACTATGGCACACGTTTGCGCATCAATCTGCGCTGCAATTCGGGCCTCGCTGTCTGGTGGAGCTGCCTTGGCCAATGCCAAGAAAATAGGAATGTTTTCTGCGGCATATCCTTGACCAGCAACGACTTGTTCAATCTTGGTTTTGACAATATCTTCATTTCCCCGGCTGGCAACCAATAAGTATCGAGCTCGCGTTCGAGATGAGGTGTATTCAAATTCTCTCTTTTTGATTTTGTGCAAGAGTTCTCGCGTCCGAGAATGAAAGAGACTGGGAACCGCAATGTCCATGTCAAAGGAGAGCACAGTGGGATTAATGGTAATGTCGGATGCTGGTTTGCTCCCATGAGGAGTGATCATGGTGGCAGCTGGGGTATTGGCACTCGTTTCAGCCGCACTTTTTGAAGAAATAGTAGTCATTCCAGCAGGTTGCTCTTGGGAGACCCCTTCCTTTTTCATGATATACGTCAAAATTACTGGTTCTTGATCCGGGCCTACTGCCGCCACTAAATTCTTGGCAAAGAGTGCCTGGTGTAATTCGGCAAAATTCATAGTTTCGCGTTCAAACAGGGACTGTAGAGTCTTGTCCAGATTAATGACACTTTTGTCGTTGATATCTTGCAAACCCTTGCTGTGAACATATGTGTAAATCGCACTTGTAATCTCCTTCATAGTCAACAAGGCCGGAACTTGAATATCATTTTCCAAAGGAATGGTTGCTTGTGTGGCTTGATCTCCTTCTGTTTTCGTTCGCTTTGCATTGTTTTCAGCTGCCTGTCTCCAAGGATTCTCTACGTGCCTTGGAAATAGAGCTTCTGCCAGCTTTTTGGAGGGCTTATACATGTCTCCCGATCGAATCGGATATAGCGAGATTGTGGCCACAATACTATGGAATTTCATACCTGGAGGCATGGGCCGATCTGAATAGTGATCGGAATATTGGACAAAGAAAGCATCTGCATCCGCACTGTTGCTCTGATTCCAAACCACGTTGGTTGGTTCCGACGCCCTCAGCTCGCCAGGGTTTGCAATGCTATTGGATGTCACATTGACATCCTGCTTGTCGGCCTTGCGTTTATTACGAGACTTTTTGGTCGGTGTTGCCGTTGGCACAGAGGACGTTCGCGGTTGATAGACTGTGCGTATGACAACTTCCATTTTGTTGAAAAAGTGTGTAAAAAAGATGGGGTCCAAAGTATAATCTTCGGATTCTCCCATGGAACGATATCGGTCTGAAAGGGATCCAGCAGCAGTGCCACTGGCTGGTGTGGTGGCTTCAGATCCACCCACTTGGGGAGCTCCAGGGCCACCCGCAGCTGCGATGGCTTGGGCTGCCGTGGGCATGTACGATTTTTTCGGTACAGAGCCATCTGTAGTCGTCTTTCTGATGACAGACAAGCTCCCTTCTGCGTCAATTCGTCTTGCACTCTCATGGTCTAACAAGCCTACTAATAGCTTGCCTTCAATGACGAGGGTCCACAAAGCTTGATGGGGCAAATGATTTTGAAATTGATGGGTCACGAACATGCGCAAATGCGAATGTCGAAATGACCGTGTCTGATCTAACACATTTTGTGCCCGTCGCCTTGACATCGTGGCTCTTTCGTCCAATTTCTGTTCAAGTGCATCAATCTTACGGAGTTGTTCCATGTAATGAGACCATATTTGAGACAGGCGTGACTGAGCAGGTTTGCTTGTTTCTTGCTTCGCATCAGTCGTTTCTTCTTCTTCCTTGGGAGAGACCGGAGCCGCCGCGGCTTGTTTGGTTTCCGTTTCCGAGGATGATTCCATTGCAAGAGGAGAGAGAGCCAAGGGGAAGCTTCAATACATTTTGCAATGATAACAAGAAAGCCCGAAAGTCTAGTCTCGTCTGGCTTTGTGCGTTTTGCTGACTAGTTCGACTCAAAGTCTGGCCTTTTATACGGTGATAGATTCTGCATTCGAATACTTGAAATTCTTTCAATCCAACCAATCTTCTTCAACACATCACATCACCTGTACCATGAGAAATCTATCGACGCCTTCCTTTTTTTTGGCATTGGTACAGGTCATCTACCTTGGATGGCTCCATCCTGCCAGCGCATTCGTGCCACAATTACATCAGATTCAGCACCATTCTAAATCACAATACGTCAGAAGGCAACAACATGATGGAAATTCCAAAACTACGCCCCTTTCCTTTGCATCAAAAGCCAACAACGAGGACGACGATGTCAATGCGGGGCCCGAAAAGTCTCGAATGATGGATTATATTTCTCAGTACTTGGGAAATTCTAATAAAAACATGGACGAGAAAGAATCCACAACTTCACAAGTCGACGACTACACCACATCTTCACAAGTGGACGACTCCACCACTTCACCACAAGTCGACGACGACTCGAATAAAGACAGATCTACCTTTTCGCATTTAGTGGCCCTTCCGATGGATGCATGTCATGAACTCTTGATCGAGTTGGAGTCGATCCAACGAGCGATTTTATATCATTGTCCCATTCTCTTGGATGCATGTATTCCAGCGGCTTCGACTCGACTTCCTCTGCTGTATGTCGAGGGTCCTGCTGGTTCCACGACATCTTCCATGGGAGTCACCAAAGTCTTGACGGATTTGGTGAAAAGATTGACTGAAAAGCATTTGGTCATACGGGTGGACGAAGACAGTGAGGAAGAACTCGACCCTAGTGTTCCCAGCATTGAGGACGTCAACGAGGATGGTATCTGTCCTTTTACACTGGAGTTTCAATCCTTGGAAATTGATGGGGGAAACAATAATATTCTGAGTACAGTGGCCAAGCCCAACGATCCGCGTACCAAGCGACTCCAAGCTTTCGTGCACGAATTGAAGACTACCGTCGAAAAAGAGCACGGCTGGAAGGCTGTGTTTCCGCACGATCCTCATCCGACAGAACAAGAGACAGCTGGAGGCTTTCGGCCACGTCTCCCTTTTATGGAACTGCCAAATTCTTTTGACGAAAATTTAACGAGACTACGACAACCTGAGGCCGTTATCAGCGATGAGGATACTTCATTCTTGGCTGCTGATGAAGGGGGCAACGGAATTTCTCCCATTCTCTGGTGCCAATGGTGGGACGATACCTTTGCCCGCAAGTGCCGGCTCCGCGAAGTTGCCATTTACCCGAAGAATGCACCCATGGCCAGTATGGTCGATACGGGGGAATTTACTTATACGCAATTCTTCATGCCCCACGAAACCATTTCTCTTCCTGATGGAACCGAATCCATGCAGCAGGCCGAACGACAGTTTGAAAAGTACCAAGGGGAAAGACTCATCCAAGCTCAGCAAGATTTTGAAAAACAACAGAAGGGTGAAATGGATGCCCAACCAGAAGCATCCAGCACTAGTCAGCAGCCAGTGGAACCAGATATTCTCATGACCAAAACTAGAGAACGCTTGGAAAACGTATACCGAAACTCGGTCGACTCTGTTCCCATGGACGCGGTGTTGGAGGACGTGCCTAGGGATGCAAGTGATGACGACGAGGAAGAGGATTTGCAACTAGAACCTGTCACTGCGTCACCAGATGATTACATGGAAGATTGGATGAAGGCTCGCATACAGAATATCATCGAAGAGCCAGTGAAGGAAGAAGTGTCCGATGCGCCAGCTGATGAACAAGTGGAAGCCAAAACTAATGATGATGATGATGATGATGACGACGACGAACCAAAACGGGCCGAAGTGATAGACGACGATTCCATGGACGATTGGATGAAGGCACGCATACGGAATATTATCGAAAATCGAAATATTGTCAAAGCTCGGCAGCCAGTCAAGAAGGACAAGCCCCCAATCGAAGATAATCCAGTGTTCAAGGCCTATAAGGAAGGAAAATTGGTACCATTTCCCGAGGAGGACAAGAGTCCCAAGAAGAAGAAGAGAGATCTTGGCCCATACCCAGGTCGCGATCATTTTGTTGGATTCTGGCGAGTTGAGGACAGTCCCACTGGTTTTTCAGTTGCTCCAAACAGTGCAACTTCTTCCGACAACTTTGTCCTACGCGTGGACGGAACCATAACAGGTGGACCCACCTTGGACCAAGAGACCAGGCAAAAGGCAGCTGGAGGTACATGGAAGTTTATCGAAGACAAGGAATCTGGCGAAGTGAAGCTCCGCATTCGATTAGTCATTCCACCCGCCAAAAAGCGCATTATGGAAATGGAAGGTACTATACGAAGAGTGAGCGTGAATAACGAGCTTCCAATGACATCACGGGCCTTTGGGGTTCCAGATCTTGAAGAACGAATTCAAGAAGCGAGCAAGAGTGACATAGAAGACATTCTTCAATGTGATGGAGAGGTATGTTTGCTTGCTTTGTGTTTGAGTGCGTCCATTAGAACGTGATGTTTGCTGACGCTTTAAATTTCCATAAGGTCTTTCTCGAAGATGCAATCACGAAGAAGAATAGAGAGAATATTGGGACCTTTTCAATATCAAAGATATCAGGTATAGCCAAGAGTAGAAGGGATTATACCATTACAATCCCAAGATCAGTGCGAAACCAAGACTAATACGAGCTTGATAGTTACCAACCACGGTGTGACGGATGTTGTAGCCAGTCTTGTCATACAGTACTTTCAATTTCACAACCTTCAATGTAGTCATACTGGTCGAGCTTCGAACCAACCGTCGACCGGACCGTTTGAGGCGAAGCCGAATGAATGAGTATCCATGAAAAGATCCACCATGAGGCTGAAACTTCTAACTTTGGCTATCCTTTCACTAAAAGCGATTTCAGTTGCTTGTTTCGCGCCTACGGGTGGTTTGACAAGGAATCGGCTATTTTCGAGTCCAACTTTGTCTTTCCAGCTGAAGAAACAAAATGCGATTCCTCAACTTTCGGCTCGAAAAATTGAAAGTCGTCATTCAAGACCACTTCATGCGCTTTCGACCCTAGTCAGCGGAATGCAGTCTTTCCAATCTAACCCGACTTACGTCTTAACTATTATCCTTTGGTTGTCGACATTTGGGATATCATGTACGTCCAATTTGCCTCAGCTCTCGAATCATGCTTCGTGAGTACATATCTCACACCCAATGCAGTGGAACGAAGAACTGTCATTGGAAAAGCCCTCTCTGCTCCGCTCGCCACTATGGCCGTTGCTCTCACAGCAGCAAATATCGGTGTGTTGCCATTTCAATCGCCCATCTGTAAGTTCTTCACCACATGAAAGTCTGGCTACATGGCTCTCGCACGCTCAAACGCACTGTACAGACTCTATGATCAACAAGAACTTGGTACCACTGGCAGTTCCATTGCTGCTCTTTGACTCTGATCTTAAACGGGTAATCAACGATACTGGGACACTTTTGGCCGCATTTGGGGTTGGTGCATTTGCTACCATCGTGGGCACGATAGTCGCATTTCCAATCGTCCCATTGAAGTCGCTTGGTGACAATGGATGGAGAGTTGCGTGCGCACTGGCAGCAAGACATATCGGAGGCGCAATCAACTTTGTTGCAGTGGCAGAAACTCTTAAGGTTAGTGGATCAGCAGTGTCAGCAGCGAGTAAGTATCCTTTTGCATTTTTGAACTTTTCTGAAAATTTCACAGACCAACAACTGACTTCTGTCGAATGTCTATAGTTGCCGCAGATAATGTAGTCGTAGCTCTTTACTTCGCATTCCTGTTTACAATTTCAAAAGCTGGGATGGACGATGAATCCAGTGACAGTGATGAAGTTGAAATAGATACAGCACAAATATCTGAAGTTGCAATTGAAGATACCAAAAACTCGTCCATCTCGCTGCCATCGCTTCTGACATCAATATCAGTTGCTGCAACCCTGGTTTCTTGCGGACAAATTGCAACAAGAGCAATGTTACCAGCTGGAACATCTTCCCTCCCGCTCATTTCCGTTCTGACTGTGGTCGCAGCCACTGTATTTCCAAAGTTCTTCTCCCGGTTGAGTGAGACTGGCACCTCTCTAGGCGTGGCATTCATTCAAATGTTCTTTGCCGCCTCAGGTGCAGCTGGATCCATCAGGATGGTGATGGAACAAGCACCTTCATTGTTCGCTTTTTCGGCACTTCAAATTGGTGTGCATTTCGGGACCCTAATGGTTATTGGAAAAGGTATCTTCCGACTACCAAACCGAGAGCTTTACCTAGCGTCCAATGCCAATGTTGGTGGGCCAACCACTGCTGCAGCCATGGCACAAGCAAAGGAATGGAAAAGACTTGTAATGCCAGCTCTGCTCATTGGCATACTTGGCTACGCTACAGCCACAGCTATTGCCTTGAGCCTGGGGCCCATTCTGTTGCGTCTGCCACTACTCCGCTAGTCGTAAAACGGTTTGAATGCGTGAAATTCAGTCTGAAGTTTTTAAAAGTTCTTTCTATATGAATAACATTTTGAATATGTTCTATTGGTAAATTGCTCCCCTAGGCAGTTGTTGCACTTCGTTGGTTGGGAACTGGATCAGAAATGCTGCTTAGCTGGGCCGAAGAGGTAGTCAATCCTTCAAGTGAGATGTCTTTCACAGCTGGAATGCACTTGTCCATTTTAAATAGCTTCAAGCAGTTGTGTGCAGCTAGAGCACCCTCGAGGGCAGAAAAATCGGATTCAATTCCCTGGAGAACCAAGTTGCCAATGGAAAGTTCGCGAAGCTCAGTTGCGTTGCATAGCATCTTGGTAACAGCATTGACAAGAACAAGAGCATCGGCAAGATGAACTCTTCGAAGTGTTGGAATGTAACCAATTGCTTCCACCACTGCAACACGAGAAGTGTTTCTCATTTCTCCAAGGAACTCTCCTTCGAAATGAATTGATTCAATGCTGGTGTTATTTCGAAGTGCGTCGATGATATCACCCGTGTTGCTTGAAATCTCATCCGCATCTTGCGAAATTTTGAGTTGGGAGATGGAGTTAGCTTGGATTTGTTCAAGAATGCTCATGTTCAAAATTTGTGAGACTGCTGTCAGTTTGTGAGACAATGGAAAAGTGACATTCCCAAACAATTTTGGCATGACGCAGTTCGGGTTGATGTCTTGTCAACCGGTATTCGACGCAACCAATCCGAACGATCATAAAATAACATAACTCCAATCCGAACGATCATAAGTAACATAATTGTTGATGCCTTCAGTCACACCTACTTAGTTTTCGCAATATTGTCTGTTTGTGGGAAGCAGAACGGCAGGAGTCATTCTCTGACAAAGTTTGATTAGGCATCTTATCTTCTTCTTCCGTACCGGTAGTAGACCTCGTGTTCAATCGAGCCGCAGAACAGTTCTTTTTGGAGGCATTTTGGAGTATCTGGTAGACGTACTCGTACGTGCACCAGTCCTCAATCCTTGAGCTATGTCACTTGTAGCTGGTTTGAGCGCTTTTTCTGCTTTGGCAAACCAGGGAAAGTGAGCCGAGTCGAGGTATGAAGTGGAGGCGGCGTCAGCAGCTTACCTGAATGATATATGAGTTGCACCTCCAGTTCTGCTCTCGTTGGAAAAATTGTCGTCCTTTACTGAGTTTCAGCCATAACGATCACGAGTTCGCAACCCACTCCTTTCGACTACCCTGGCCTACCGGTACTAACATTTTGAAGCACAATAATGTGGTGTATGTGTAGTATTTAGTCTGGATTTTAAGGATATAATCTATTGTAACTTATCATTATATATTTCTATAAGTGCTTTGTGTTTTCCATACCCCGAAGGCTTTACGCTGTCTGGGCGCTTGGCCCATTGCGCACAGGGTCAGAAATCTTACTAAGCAGGGTAGTAGAGGTGGTCAAGCCGTCAAGTGAGATTTCTGCCACAGCTGGTCTGCACTTCTCCATCTTGAAAATCTTGAGGGAGTTGTGCGAGGCTAGGGTTGCTTCAAAGAATGAAAAATCAGATCCAATCCCTTGAAGAACAATGTTGTTGATGGAAAGTTCGCGAAGACCAGTTGCTTTGCAGAGCATATTTGCGATACCGCTGACAACAAGCAGAGTATCAGCAAGATAGACTAGTTGCAATGTTGGAATCGCCCCAATGGCCTCCACGACTTCGAGACGAGAATCGTTTCTCATGGCTCCAAGGAACTCTCCCTCGAAGCGAACGGACACGATGCTCTTGTTGCTTCGCAGAGCATCGACGATTTCAGAAGTTCTTTCTGTAATCTCATCCGCATCTTGCGAAAGATTGAGCTCAGAAATGGTGTTGGATTTGATTTGTTCGAGGACACTCATATTTTGTTTTGTTTCGATTGTGAAATTGTGTGCTCGTGAAATTGTGAGATGATAAACACGAGAGACGTTTTTGTCGTGGGGTTCGGATCGGATTGGTGACACCACTTCTACAGTACTTAACGGATTTTGGTAAACGAGCGATTTTTACAACCATTTGTTTCGACTGCCAAACAATTCCGCGCACGTCCATCGCTTCCGTCTACTAGCTAGGGAAGTGTGCCAGGTACGGTCAGTCGACCCCGTTAACAGACCAGATCGATGAGTTTAACGGATAAATTTCGAAATGACAAAGATTTCACGGTCCGTCTGTCATCCGTGTCATGTCTGTCGTAGATCGGTCTGGTCATCGTCCGTTTTCACGAAATCTCTTTACGACTTAAAAGTGCCTTCAGTATTTGTCATGCCATGGATGTAGGTGCAACAGTATTGCGTGGTGCACCACTGAACTGATGTGTACTTTAGCTAGCTGCCTGTCGTCATCATTGGAGCTGAGGATCCGGCTCGTCATTGGACCTGCCTGCGTATGAACAAGCGAAAGACACAACAAACAAACCTTAGTGTATACTCTTTCACAGCAAAAAAATTTAAACATACTTGACTTTGCTCAATATCGCAACTACAACTCAACTATAGTACGACACTTGTCTTGTTAGATTTTGCTTAATATGACCTGAAATTGCAAATTTTCTTCTCCATTGGGGGCCCAACCCCCAAATTCCCACTACCAGAAAGACGACTTTAAAAGAAAGAATGCTCTTTTGCGGGACATTCTGTTAACGGGGTCGACTGACTGTACACGTTTACATGTACACGAATGACCTAATAACCCTAGCTAGTCCTTTTTTCATTGTTACAATTCAGCCGAAGCCAAAGAATTAGAAAAGGACTACGTATTTATCATCCGTCTACGGTAGTACCGGTATCAATCAATATTACTACTTCGATAGAAAAAGTGTCAAAAATTTGTGCGTCCTACCGGTAGACCAGAAAAGGGTGTTGTCCAGATTGTGAAGATATAATTCTATTATTTTACTTATCGTTGTATTGTTCTATCAGCAATGTGTTATTTGATCGGTTGCATTGTACTCTGTACCGTCGAGGCTCCTCCTCTAAGCTGTCTGGGCGCTTGGCCCGTTGCGCACAGGGTCGGAAATCTTACTAAGCAGGGTAGTAGAGGTGGTCAAGCCATCGAGTGAGATGTTTTTCACAGCTGGTCGACAATCTTCCATCTTGAAAATCTTGAGGGAGTTGTGCGAGGCTAGGGCTGCTTCAAAGAAGGAAAAGTCAGATTCAATGCCTTGAAGGATCATGTTGCTGATGGAAAGTTCGCGAAGACCAGTTGCTTTGCAGAGCATATTTGCCATGCCGCTCACAAGAAGCAGAGTATCACCAAGGTGGACTCGTTGCAGTGTTGGGATCTTTCCCATGGCTTCGACGACTTCGAGTCGAGAATCGTTTCTCATGTCACCAAGGAACTCTCCCTCGAAGCGAACGGACACGATGCTCTTGTTGCTTCGCAGGGCATCGACGATTTCAGAAGTTCTTTCTGTAATCTCATCCGCATCTTGCGAAAGATTGAGCTCGGAAATGGAGTTGGCTTTGATTTGATCAAGGATGCTCATGATTTGTTTTGTATTTGTAATTTTGTTAAAAGTTGTGAGATTTGGTTTTACAAGAGACATTTTTGTGGAGTTCGGGTCGGATTGGAGACATTGCTTCTAGTTAACGGGTTTTTTTGGACACATAATGTGGCTTTTAAAAACATTGATTTTCAACTGCCAAACAGTTCCACGCAATTTGACCTGTCATTCTCCACCTCTACCAGTAACTTGGCTGTAGGTACTCCTTTTTTTCCCGTTTGCTAAACCACATCACTTGTACTCACCTCAAAGTAATCCATGGGTGTATTTCAGCAACAGCCAACGCATTAAAAAAGCGTTGGTCCTATTTCTCATTGTCCTAGTGTGAAGAGGAATAGGTGCTGCTTGTTGTGTAGTCCAGAATTCGAAGGTATTTTTCTATTACTTTAGTTATCGTTGTATTGTTCTATCATTGATACATTGTTTGATCGGTTGCATTGTGCTATACATCGCGAAGGCTCTAAGCTGTGTGAGCGGCGCTTGTCCGGTTCTTGCCAACAAAAGGATCGGAAATGCTATTGCTGGCTGAGCAGAGTAGTAGAGTTGGTCAAGCCGTCAAGTGAGATTTCTGCCACAGCTGGCCTACATTCATCCATGGTGAAAAGCTTGAGAGCGCTGTGCGAGGCCAGAGTGGCTTCAAAGGAGGAAAATTCTGATTCGACGCCTTGAAGAACAATGTTGCTGATGGAAAGTTCGCGAAGATCAGTTGCCTTGGAGAGCATCTTTGCGATACCACTGACAACAAGCAGAGTATCACCAAGGTGGACTCGCTGCAATGTTGGAATCGCACCAATGGCTTCCACCACTGCGAGACGAGAATCATTTCTCATGTCGCCAAGGAACTCGCCTTCGAAGCGAACTGACACGATGCTCTTGTTACTTCGCAAGGCATCGACGATTTCAGAAGTTCTTTCTGTAATTTCATCCGCGTCTTGCGAAAGATTGAGCTCGGTGATGGAGTTGGCTTTGATTTGTTCAAGGACGCTCATGTTTTGTTTTGTTGTGATTTGTGTACTTGTGTGCTCGTGAAATTGTGAAGCCAAGAAATTGTGTGCCATCAAAGAAGTGTCACTTCGCTTGGATGACATGATGGTTCGGTTCAATGCCGAGTTTATCCGTCACTACTTGAACGATTGGACATTTTGTTTGACTCTGGCGAAGAGATTTTTTCACTTGACGTATAATTTGGGTCATTTCTCTTTTATGTCTTTTTCTAGTAGATGTAAACAGTGGAAGGTCTTCTCCACGCTTTTGTCCTACGTTCGTAAGTACCAAGCTCTTCCCAAATGTCAATAGTGCCGAACAATTCCATGCTACAGTATTGGGCCTGATCCGAAACCGAACTCCAGCGTACTAATATGATAGGAAAAATACCTGGCGTAGACCCTTCGCAAAAATCTTATCGAAGACCTCCATAGCAAGTCAACTCATAATCCTTTTCGTCCAAGCGGTGAAAGGAAACCGACTATCTAATTACAATGCCAAATCCTCGTAAGTTTGCAATCATTTCATCAGTAGTAATGGGAATGAAACCAACTGACAGTCTGTCCCGTATTTACAGCCACCAGATACAATGAGCAGGCAATCCAACGCCTTGTTGATTGGAATTCCGATGTCATGGTTCGTCTTCTAAAGCAAGTGGTTGCCAAAAGAGTGGCATACGGACAGGAGACTTGGGACGTAGAACCTGTTCTGGAACAAGAAGAAGGAAAACTTGTCCTTGATGAGGTTGCTGAGGTCATCGACCTTCCGATGTTCAAATACTACAGAACTTCTCCAAATCCAGATGCTGTCGTTCTTCCAGAGGCAGCCGAGAAACAGCTACGTGATTATGTTGCTGCTGTCTCTAATGCATACCACGATAACCCATACCACTGCCTCCAACATGCAAGTCAAGTCACAACTGCACTGACCAAGTTGCTTTCTCGAGTCGTCGCGACCTCACTTGACGAGCTTGATACCGAGCTTGGAGAAGAGTATGGCACAGATGATGACTCTCTTGAAGATGTCCAAGTGACCGATAACATGGCTGCCATGTTGCATCACCATACATTTGGAATTGCGTCTGACCCACTCACACAGTTTGGGTTGGTATTTGCAGCATTGATTCATGCTGTTGACCATCAAGGGGTGTCCAATAAAGACGAGCTAAAAGTCAATCCAGAAGCTGCCGCCCCCTATGGCAACCGCAGTATGGTCGAACAACGTTCGATTAATAAGGCCTGGAAGAAGCTTATGGAACCAGAGTTTAAGGAGCTCCGCAGATGCCTCTACAAAGATGAAGTGGAGCTCAAGCGTTTCCGTCAAGTTGTCGTCAACGCAGTCTTGGCAACTGATATTGATGATGCTGAACTCCAAAATCTCCGAATGACTCGATGGGAGAAAACGTTCTCCAGTGGCGTAAGAATGACTGGACGGGATACATTGAAGGATGTGAACCGAAAAGCTACTATCGTGATTGAACAATTGATGCAAGCGGCACACATCATTCATACGATGCAACCGTGGATTGTCTATGACAAATGGTCTCGTCGCCATTTCCTCGAAATGCATATTGCATTTAAGGGTGAAAACAGTGCCTCTGATCCTTCTGCGTCTTGGCTGAAGTCTGAAATGGACTTTTTTGACAATTATGCAATTCCGTTGGCGATGCAATTGAAGGATTGCGATGCATTTGTTGTAAATCAAGATGAGTTCCTCAATTATGTATTGAAGAATCGACAGCAACTATCTTCACTAGGAGAAGAGTTGCTCAAATCGATGATAGAGCAAGCGAAGAAGGACGACAAGGTGGAGGAGCAAACTGGTTCCGATCATCTCATCTTTAATCCAGAGACTCGCATGCTTGATAACTTGCACAATGACGGAAAGGTCTCAAGACATCTACAGCACCTTATCGACTGGAACGTTGAAATACTTGGAATGGCTGTGAAACGGATCGTTGCCAAGAATAATGCCACTGGTGATACTGGAAACAAAGAACGTATCGACCTTGAACTTGATCTGACTGTCAAGATTGTGGATGAAGTTGCAGATGTTATTGCTTTCCCTGACTTTGATGCATCCACGGCACCAGCTATGCTGGATACTTCTGCAGAGCTCGATGTCGTCATCACATCTCAGCTTCGAGAGTTTGTGACAGACATCGCCACAAGATTCAAGAGCAATCCATTCCATTGCTTGGATCGTGGAACACAAATCTGTATGTCGGCGAAGAAGCTTCTCGGTCGACTCATGACCAAGACACCAGAAGAATCTTCAGAAGATATCTACTCCAAGAGCTTTGGTATTGCATCTGATCCGCTTGCCCAACTGGCAGTAGTGTTTGCTGCGCTCATCATTGATGTCGATCACCAAGGCATCCCAAACAGTCAGCATGTTTTTGAGAACTCGTACCTTGCTGACAAGTTCAAGAATCGATGCATCAGCCAGCAGCATGCTCTCGACATCTGCTGGGGACATTTCATGCACGGCGAATTTGATGAATTGCGCGCATCAATCTTCTCTACCGCAAGCGAGTTGAAACGATTCCGTCAAATCGTCGTCAATTGCATTTTGGCAACTGATCTTGAGGATGATGAACTTGTCCACTTCCGTAAGAAGCGTTGGGATAAGGCATTTATCGCTGGTCGTAGGGATGAATCAGTTGAAAACAGGAATAGAAGAGCCACCATCTTGCTTGAAATGATCGCGCAATCGGCCGATATGTTCCATGCCACACAGAACTGGCACCTTTACACAAAGTGGAATGAACGCCATTTTTCGGAAATGTACAAAGTCTATCAAGACAAACGCCTCAAACAGGATCCCACAATTTTCTGGTACAAGAGTGAGCTACTTTTCTTTGACGAGCATGCCATTCCTCTTGCCAATCAATTGAAGGAATGCGGTTGCTTTGGAAATACTTCAGAAGAGTACTTGAGTTGGGCTCTCGCCAACCGACAGCAGTGGGCCGCAAAGGGCAATGAACTCGTTGCCTCTATTGTGGCTCGACACCTTGGAAAGCAGATTGAAAAGCAGAGATCTGTCAGGTTCCATCGTCGCGTCAGTCTCAGTGCCAAACAAGCGTAGGGCTCTGCCAACATCCATTACTTCACTTGGAGATTTTAACAGTGAATTTATAGTAGAATGATACATACGTACAGACCATTTAGTAGCTTTTTCAACGTACTGTAGGATCTGAACTTCCGATAAAAACTGTGCCAGCTCGCCAAAATTCTTTTCACAAGATTCCCGGTTTGCAAGTATTGGAGCGAACGATGGTGATTCTCCAAAACTTTCAAGTGTTTGGAAATGGCGAGGAGAACTAGAAGATCGAACTCGCCTCGGTCTTCCACAGAAAGATCATCTGATGAGGAAGTAGTTGAGGTTACGACAGCTAGTTCTATGAGTTCAAAGAAACGGCGTAGTCGTCGCTCATCTCGGTATTCTACCAAGAAGGATTCTACAGGTCCTTCACCACTAGATGAGGAAGCAAGGAACGAAGGTGTGAGAGCTAGCCAAACAAAATCCAAGAAGCATCGCAGCTCTCGATCATCTCGACATTTAACAGAAAATGGGTCATCTGATGTAGAAGAAAATGAGGTTGTGAAAGCTAGTCATAGAAGTTCCAAAAGAAGAAGCAGTCGTCGGTCGTCTCGATATTCTGCAGAACCTGCGTCTGATGAAGAAGAAAACGAGAGAGCCATTCATAGAATTTCCAAGATAGCTCACAGTCATCGGTCGTCACGGGTTTTGGTGATAAGTCCATCCGACGAAGATGACAATGATCTGTTGACAACAACAAGTTCGAAAAAGACACGCCGCAGTCGTCGCTCATCCGTCGAAACTAGACGAGATAATTGCCGTTTGATGATAGGCGCAGGTATTTGCACTTTGGGGATCTTTGTGGCTGTTGTTGCTGTAATTCTTATCCTCCAACGCCAGAATACAACCCCTGATGAAGGCTTGATAGCACAAGAAGAACCTCCTACTGCTGCGCCGCAATACTCCGTACCATCTACGAAAGAGCCCACGGCTTCTCCGACGAGTGAGCGCACAACCAGCCCTGCACCTTCCACGACGTTTTCGCCGAGTGATTCTCCATCATTTTACCCAAGCGTAAATCCGAGTGTTTTACCTTCCATCGTTCCTTCGGCAGCTCCTTCAGTTAACCCAAGCGAGTCTCCGACAATAACGCCGACTTCAGAACCAAGTCCCGCACCGACCACTACATTCAGACCAACATCTTCTCCCACTCCGCCCCTGTACCCTCGGACGATTGTTCTTCAGTCTCGCCAATTTCTACAACGAGGAGAATTTGTCTCCTCGCCATCGCGCGACTATCGAGTGGGTCTTTCCACCACTGGTGAATTTGTCTTGCTGGATTCTGATGGCAATGAAATATGGAGACCCGATGCCATGGACGCCATAGGTGCCGAGGATCTATATCTGCAAGCAGATGGAAACTTGGTAATGAGGGATGCGAGCGGGGATTCCATGTGGTCCACCAAGACGTCGACCAGTAGCGCGTCACTCTTTGTGCTGGATGATGGCGGGATTATCGGCTTGATACAAACCTTTCGTACATCCACCGAGTCAACCTTTGTTTGGATGAAGGGTGTTCCCCGGGGTACTTATAATGGTCAGCCGGATGGTAGTGCGATTTCCTATCCGATTCGTGGTGCCTTTTACTACCCTTGGTTTCCAGAAACTTGGACTGTTGGGGGAAAGCGGGCCAAATTTGCTCCAGACGTTGGTTGGTATCATTCTGGTGATCCGACGGTTGTCCGCAAACACATTGAACAATTGGAATATGGCAGGATCGATTTGGGAGTTGCTGCTTGGTTTGGAATTGATACGAACAATGATATCGGAAGGATTACACAAATTCTGGAACTAACAGAAGCATCCAACTCACCCCTGAAATGGGCATTATACTATGAAATGTTTGAAAAGGTTCGAACAGTGGAAGAAATTCGAAGCGACTTGGAATATATCAAGAAGTGGTACTGTTGGCATCCTTCGTATGCTCATATTGCAGGCAAACCGGTCATTTTCATTTATCAGTCTAGAGGTTGTGATATTATCCAGAACTGGGTCGAAGCCAGTCAAGGCGAATGGTATCTTGTTCCTAAAATCTTCATTGGATACGGTGGATGCGATGCCCAACTAAATCCCGGCAAGTACCATCAGTATGCACCAGCCCAAGCAGTGGAGCAATACGATGGACTCGCCTTTACAATATCCCCTGGGTTCTGGAAGGCCGACGAAGATGAGCCGAGGCTTGCTCGATTGGATAAGTCGACCTGGTGTCAAAACGTGCAGAGTATGGTCGATAGTAATGCTCCGTGGCAACTGGTTACGACCTTCAATGAAGCTGGTGAAGGGACTATCATTGAGCCATCGAGAGCCAATTGGCCAAGTGCTTCGGGCTATGGAATATATTTGGATTGCCTCCACGACGTTTATTGAAGTAGAAGCAGAAAAGGAAATAGGTAGATACTCTTCGTATTGAAATTGTTTTTGTAGTCTTGCCGCCCCCCGGACCGCGCCCAAAATTTCTCAAAACAAATTTGAAAACCAAGGCAAATACTGTAACTCATCATCACCTTCGATGTGGCTATATTTTGGCTATATTTGATAATAACAACAACGGCCACCATGTCATCTACCAATGAAACAGACACGCATTCCTACACCGTGTTGTATTACAAGAGAAAGTCAAAGGTGCACAAGTCAAAAGGCGTCTCCAAGATGGACGGAATTCTCACCATTTGTCCCTTTGCAAAAGCAACTGTCATTTTGAAGGATGGGAATAACACCGTCTATAGTGGTGCCATTCCCGATGTTGCCAAGCAAGTCGATTCTTTGCAAGAAGATAACATTCTCGCGGTGGGAAACTACGAAGTAGAGATTTGCGATCGCATTGGAGCCAAGCCGCCCGCTTCCTCTCTTGCCTCCACCAAACCTGTCGGAATTGGCAATCGCACTGGCTTTCTCCCCCGTTCTTCCAATAAGGGCCTTCGACGCCCACTACACCCTAGCAGCCGGCCATTGCTTCCAGCAAAAGCAGCATCCAATGTTGTGTCACAAGGCAATTCTCTGACGCAGTCATTCGCCAATGGCCGCCGCCTTGTTCGACCAGCACAACCAAAGCCTAAGCCTGCTCCTCCAGAAGATTCGGACGACGATGATAGCGACAACGACATGAGCCCAATGATGAAAGAAAATACACACTGTTTTCCCCTCAAAAGACAACTGTCGTCTCTCAAGCCTGTGGGATCTATCGGTGCTGTGACCAAGGTTCGCCGCAAAGTCCAAAAACTTGCCACCACCAGCACTAACGCTACTACTACTGCCGCAGCATCCAACTTGTTTGTGGACGCCATTGGCAATCTGGATGTTCCGCATTCGATCAAGAGGGTTCTCAAGCCACATCAAATCACTGGTGTTTCCTTCCTTTGGAACTGTCTCACTGGAAGTGGAAAAGCCGCTAAGACATCGCCTCATGTTCCGGACGACTATTGTTTAAAGGGCGCAATCCTAGCAGATGGTAAGTGAGACTGAAATTGTGAAAGTGGACATTATCATTGTTGGAATTAAAAAGATTGTTTATAGTTATATCTAACACCGTTTATTTGCCTGCGTCAAAAGAAATGGGGCTGGGGAAGACTCTCATGACCATTGCTGTACTATGTGCTTTGCATCGACAAAAACGAGACCGCCGATTCGTCGTAGTTTGTCCATCCTCCCTCGTCACCAACTGGGCCAACGAATTTGACAAGTGGCTGGGCAAAGCCAGTCAACCCAAACGTGTGGTAGTAAAAAAGGGCGGCAAAGAGGCCACGAGTCAAATCAAAGCATGGTCCAACAAGGCTTCCGAAGTTCTCATTATTTCGTACGATCTCTTTCGAATGAATTCGGACTTGTTTGGTCAAGTGAACAAACCCGTGGCGTGTTTGGTAGTCGACGAAGGCCACCGCTTGAAGAATACAAATGGCTCCTTGACGTTGACGGCCTTGGAATCTCTTCCGTGTCAAGCACGATTGTGCATCACCGCGACACCGATTCAAAATATTTTATCCGACTTTTTCACCATTGCCAATTTTGTTTGTCCAGGTGTACTGGGTGATTTGCCAACCTTTCGAAAAGACTACGAACGACCCATTTCGGCTGCCAATAACAAGAGCGCTTCCAATAAAATCAAGCAGGCTGGGCTCAAGGCATCCCGTGGGTTGGAAATGGTCACCAAAGCCTTTATGTTGAGACGATTGCAGAAAGATATTCTCAAAACCATGTTGCCTCCGCGCAATGAAGTCTTGGTGTTCTGTCGTCCCTCTGCAGTACAAGGCAAGCTGTACGAACAAATCACCAAGGGGCATCAAAGTCAAGGCATGAAGGCAACTTCCGATGCACTCACGACCCTTATTCAGCTTCGAAAGCTATGCTCGCATCCAGCGTTGCTTCCAAAGGGCAACGACATGCATAGCGACCGCATTGACAGCATTGTTGATGTATCTGGCAAACTTCAAGTCCTTGCTGCCCTCTTGCAACAGATTCGGGAACACGCGCCGACAGACAAGGTTGTGATTGTCTCCAACTTTACATCTGCTCTATCCCTTATCGAGAAAAGTATTCTGGGGCCTCAAAACTACCTCTTTGTTCGTTTGGACGGCACCACCGAAGTCAAAAAGCGCCAGGAAGCCGTGGATACCTTCAACATGACAACTGCAGACAGACATTTTGTCTTTTTGCTTAGTTCCAAAGCTGGAGGCTGCGGTTTGAATTTGATTGGAGCAAATCGGTTGGTCATGTTCGATCCGGATTGGAAGTAAGTTGTTGTCACCATGTCTTAAACTGACGTTGCCTGATATTCGTCGAATCTTCATCTAATCCTCTTCTTCTCAAGTCCCGCTTCGGATATTCAAGCCATGGCGAGAGTCTATCGCCAAGGGCAGACAAAACCTTGTGTCATTTACCGACTATTCACTACTGGTACGGTGGAAGAAGTGATTTGTCAACGCCAAATTCAAAAGGGGAATCTTGCCACTCAAGCTGTGGACGGAAAAAGTTCCCAGTCCAGTGGCAGCAACAAGACAAGCTTCTCCAAAGCCGAGCTGCAGGATTGTTTTACCCTCAAGAGGAAAATTCATTGCGACACCAAGACAAAATTGGGAAAAAGATGGCCAGATTACACCAGCGCCAAAAGTATTGTCGACAATGGCTGTAACGACAAAGCCTTGATCGCGGTTGCAGAGGACCAGTCGAATCCAGTATCATTTGTACATGTTGTGAACGAAGCAGAATCGAAAACGGGAGACAGTGGCAGCAGCAATGTTCTTGACTCGGATGATTCTGATGACTCTGCCGATTTCACAAGTGAGGAAGAGTTTGAGTGAAGATGGTTATGAAAGCCGATACTTTGCTGGGGATAGATAGATGGAAATTGGCGTTCTTGCAGCAGCAGCAGCAAACTAGATTTCACTCTTTTGCCGAATCATTAGCCTTGTGATCGTGGTGGTTCTATTTCTCTTTCTGTAGCACCTCTGGATGATCGTGTATGTATTTCTTTTTGAAGTCTGCTAGCCTGTGTGCCCAATCAACAGCAGGGTCAATCTTGACTTCTTTTGGCCAGCCAATCAATGGAATATCTTCTGGCTGGTCCACTGGCAACAGCCGAAACAAATTTGGATCAATCACAGACGAAACCTTGCGAATGAACAAGGCACCCGATTCTCGAATGTTTTCAAGGTCATAAACGCCAAGAAAATATGGTCCCCAGGCATGAGGTGCATCCACGCCGGAGTTTTCTGGAACATTGTATCTCTGAACGGTGGTATAGACTCCTTGCGAATTGGGCATGTTCTCGTCCATGCGTTCGTATCGAATGGCGTACATATCCACTTCATCGACATCCAGATATCCTTCTTCGTCAATTTCTGGGATTGTTTTGGGCATGTAATGCATTAAGATTGTCGGGATAAAGGTCTCGTCGGTCATTAGCTTTTTGGTGGCGATGAGGTATTCCTTGTATTGACTTGCCAGACTATCTGGACGATCCAATTGGCGCACTAACAGCTGGCACCAATCGAACTGCAGTACCATCCATTGGCTTCCAAAATATGTTTCGGGAGCGTAATTCGAATGAGAGACCCCGTCGTCATCGACATAAGTCAGGTTTGCCGGGTCCTGGCTGTAGTGCCCGCGTTTGTGCCATTTCTTTGGGAAAAAGTGAATGGGAGCTGGGACCAGCCCAGTTTCGCAAGAATGCGAGGTGACAAAATTCGTCTTGGCCAAAGGGCCAGCAAACAAGCTGGCAACTCGATCGGGCGTGTAAACAGGCAAAGTATCTCCGCTGAGGTTGATGAATACATCCCACTTTCCTTCGTATTCCTTGACTGCTTTGTCCAAACCCCAAAGCGTTGGCGCGTTCATGGACCAGGAACTCCAGGAGGAATTGTGCACCGAGGCGATTTCCACCTGACTCCCACAGGGACAAGCATCAATTTCTTGTTTCAGCACAGAAGATTCGTATGGTTTCATTCCAAATTTGACATCAATGTGAATGAGAATGGTATTTCGTGAATCCCGAATCCCTCGAAACAAATACAAGGCATCGTTCATGGTTCGATCATTGTGCACCACAATCAAGTAGAAGATTCTTGCTCCACAAGACGTCATCGTCGTGCTATTTGTATTGTCTGGATTGTTATTGAAACACAATTCTTGTAGTTCTTGCTGTTGTTGTGACCTCTCCTCGCACGTGCAATCGACATCGTCGTGCGCAATGCTGGACCAATGCGGATCATCCGGTAGATCGTGAATATCTTCGGCGCCTACAACATCTCCCGAGGAGCATGTTCCGCAGAGAACGTATTGAATGAGGAGTATCAACAGTATTGCCCTCATGGCTTTATATTGGTCGAGTTGTGGTACACGATTATTGTGTTGCTCAAGGTTGGATGATGATGAGGTTTCAGTTTCAGGTTCAAAATGGGTATGATTTAGTCCCTTCTTCCATCGCAAGTCAGAAAACATGGAGGGTTGGGCAATGGTCTTATTAACGTAGCAGAAGTTTCTTTTTAAAAACAAAGTCTCATCTTGCCCGTGGCTTTAGCATAAGATGTAATAGTTACGTAGCAGAACTTCTTTTATTCTTCCATCTCCTCGGGTGCTTCGTTTTCCCCAAATCCCTTGCCTGAGACAAGACAGGTAATCCAATGCAGCACCAGACCAGGGGGACCAATCAAATTGCAAAACAATACGGAATGCGATGTAAACACTCCTCGTCGTAGACCATCCAACCAAACCCATCGGCCCACAAACAAGTCCCAAGTCAAGACGTGACTCCATTCTGAATAATAGTAGAGCGATATTATGAATCATGGAAAGCGTCAGTTAGTAGTACTCGTGGTGTCGTTTGTTCAATAATATATCCACACGTCCAGTTTTTTCTTCTTCTAGACGCACCTTCCGCTACAAAGTTGGGATAGTTGGTAACCATGTTCATGAACGCCGCTTGCGGATCGCCACCGGGGTTGAAGACTTCGTTGAATTCCAGCAACGGTGCCGTGGCGCCCGGTTGGACAATCGAACTCGCCACAATGAAGAAATGCGTCAAGGCAAAAAAGACAACCACATCTTGTGTGTCGCGAGAAAGAGCAGAAGAAGTTAGAATAGGCTGTCAACCGCGCGCTCCTAAGTTTCGGCGATCATTTTTGCACGTACCCAGACTTCCCATGACTTTCTTGGTAATATCGGCCTTGGGCAGAAAAATCAACAGCAGCCAAAACGGCTGTGGACCAAAGGTTGCAAAACTAAATGCCGTGTGGATTGGTTCAGGTGATGTTCCAATGATTTCCATTACCGATTTCAGTCGGGTGGACGACTGTCCATTGTTGTGAATCTGCTTGTTGGATTGTTTGGAAACTACCAATGGAGAACATCGTTGCTGTTGAAGACCTTGTTGTTGGAGGACAGCTTTGCTTGAACCACCGACTGTTGGAGCGAATGCCGAGCAGGCACCTAACGAAGAAAGGACTAGTAGCGTCTTTAGAAGTCGACGAGTCAACATTGTGCTGTATGTCGTCAATAGGTGTGGGAACACAGTACCGGTACTGGTAGGATATCTTTGTGTTCCTGTCGCACTGACCTGTTTTTGGATTCTGTTTTTCTGATGTTTGCCTGTCCGAACACGTACCAGATACGTCATCAGTGCCCGAATGAAATGTGGTCGAAGGGTTCGACCTTGTCTGTGTTTCAAAATGGCGCGAAGACAAAATGACAACTTGACCAACGCAACTTCCGACATCCAATCATCTCTGAAGCAATATCTCTCAATCGATCAACCAAACCTTCAGCATGAATGGTCATGGCGATTTCAAGTGGATGGTATCCATTGCCGACGAGACCTTTTCCAATAGAAATGGAAGCAAAAGCAAAATTGTCCAGTTGAACGACCCATCCACCAACTCGAGCCGTCAGTACATTCAACTTTCCAACAACAGCCATGATCTGGTGGAAACCCAAAGTCTGGAATCCGACTTTTCGTCCTTTCTGGTGGGACGTCATGTGGTGAAGGACGGAAACCTCTACGTTATGAATCGAGTGGATCCCTTATTTTGGTTCTTCTCGCAGTACTCCCATACAGAACAATGCAAACAATGGCGACCAGTGGATCAAGTGGTCGAGTGCCTGCCGGATGTAGTTCAAAAGGCTTTGGATACGGATCAAATTCCCCATCTCTTTCAAGTGTTGAACAGCGAAGCAATGGGCGATACTCCCTTTTTCAAATTTGTTCCCGAACGTGCACTGAAATGGCTCCAACAAAAGCACCAACGCATCTTCCATTGTCTTGAAATACAAGAGAAGGCAAAACGAGAACAAAGCAAAAAGAAACTTTCCAAAAGTAGCCGCGGTGGTGGTTCGGTCAGCGCCAGCTTTTACATGCCGGAAGATACAACATCATCCGCACCACAAACGGAAACGGATCCTTCCATCCTGAGCAATGCCGACATTCAAATGCTGAAATTGGACAGTGCCCAAATCATCTCCAACTACTTGCCACCCGAATGGTCCAAGGCTTTGATGGACCATTTGGGACTGGCAGAAACTGAAGCCAAGGTGACGCAACAACACCAAGTCAAGAGACCAGTCGTCTCCCCCACTGCCTCTCCCGACAAGCCTGAAGAAATAGAAAAGCCAAAGAAAAAGGTAGTCGAAGCACAAACGATAGGCAACAAGCGTCTTGCAAAAGTTAGTACCAAGGGAATGAAGTCACTTGCCAGTTTCTTTGGAGGACCAACGACCAAGAAGAAAAAGGTGCAATGATTGGTAAACGACCGAGTGAGGGTCTTGTTGACGTCAATCATTGATGAGGTCTCACTGCAAGAATTTTCCCAACAAGAGACACAAGAAAATATTAATGACTAATTTTTATCCAGCAGCTAAAAGGAGCCAATATTGTTGATATGAACATAAGTGTATAATTTTAATTTACATGATGATGAATGATGAGGACTAGTGTTATATACTGTATGTTCTACCTACCCATGATATTTGCACCTTTTTACCGACCTTAATATGTCTTCTCCATTTCTCCATAGTTTACGTTTTGACATCATAACCTATTTCAGTTTCTTCGCTCGGCGAGCGCGTGTCACTTTAAACTTACAGTAGCGTCGCCATCAGATCGACAAACATCAAAACTGAGGACGAACATTATTTCAGGTGCAAGTACTCGTACTGTACTGTTGATTGGCAATAGTGTCATCATCGTCATGAAGTTGTTGCTTCCCTTTTCCATATTATTATTGGCTACTACGACTGCAGCCTTTGCACCCCACTCTTTGAATCAAAAGAATGTTAACAATCATTCATCCAAAAGCTTCCACAAGCAGCCGACCAACGGCCAATCCATCATGATCATCACTCCACAACGACAAAAGGACACCTCGTTGAATTTATTATTGGATGTTCCCGATTATTTCTTCACCTTTACCTTTCCCATGCTAGGGATCATTCTCCAAGTTTCCAAATCCTTTGGCCGTCTCCGCATGGAAGAACGAGCCTGGGAATTGCGGGTCGAAGAAGCCCGCCAAAAGCGAATCGAAGAGGACCCAACTCTGACCGAAATTGAATTGAGGCGCAAAGAAGCCGCCATGGAATGGTCAGCCTATGGAAAGCCACGAATGGACGAAGAACGATTGCAAAAGGAACAACAAGAAAAAGAAATGATGTATGAATCAAGGCGTCGGAATCGTGTTCAAGTGATGGATCGGGACGAAGAAGACGACGACGAGGAAGATGAAACACAATACCGCAAGAATCGCATGACTGACAAGGAAATTGACTTGTTTGAAATGGAATATGGAGTCGATTATGATCCATATTATGATGATCCCTATACTGAAGATGAACTTCCTGATGACATTCCGTACAATGTGGATCGCAAGTATGGAGATCGTATTTACGACAATGGCGAAATATTTTACAAGGACAAGGAATCGGGGATGTTTTACCGACAAGGGGCCAAACCAAGAATGTTATCGTTTTGGCAATAACAAGTATGAAGTACCAAAGAATAGACATGGCGATGGGTGCCACCGAGGATCCGTCCAAGGAGGAGAAGCAGTTGGAAGAAGAACAAGACGACCAAGAGTGATGAAGAACATCAGCCGCTCCACCAGAGATCGACGAATGAACCATCGGTGATAGAGAGGAGCTGATTTGAACAAATAGCTTAGAATAACGCAATAAAAGTTAATCCGCGCAGAAGTAACCTAAGATTATTTGAAAGACCTTGCTACATACCGGTACAATCACGCTGTGCTTTTCAGATAAGTCTCCAAAATGCACCTGTGCTATTTAGTCGTATTGATCAAACCCGACTTTCAGCCGGAACACCAATCGTGACTATTTGCGACCATTGAAGAAAACACAACTACCGGTGCAGCACTTCCTGTGACAACCCAAGAATCCAACCAAGATGGCATCTCTTTCGTTGCCACCGCCGAAGCATTCGAATAATTCAGCGTTTCAATTCGGCAAACCAGCAGCAGTAGCCGAAGAAGAAGAAGAAGAAGAAACCGAGACAGCCATTGTCTTCACCGGGTCCAATGAACCAGCACCAGCACCAGCTGCTCCTTCCAAACCCAAGAAACCCCTTCGTGCTCCCTGCTATGAAGAACGGTGTCTAGCAGCTGCTGAAATTGCCAAAATGACGCCCGAAGAAAGAAAAAGCAATCCTCGCAAACTCTTTGTTCCTCGTGCTCTGGAGGATTTTGATGATGGGGGTGCCTTTCCCGAAATTCATGTCGCTCAATATCCCCGTCACATGGGCAATCCGCATTTGCGCAAAAAGGGGGCATCCGTAAATGGCTTTCAAACTAGATCTAGAGCTATTGTCAATGTGGAAGTGGATAAGGATGGGGAGATCTCGTACGATGCCATTGTCAAGGGAGGAACGAATGCAGGAAAAAAGGTGTTCTCCCGATACGAAGATTTGCGTGGAGGGGAAGGCAAGGCAGAGGACCTCGCACTACCAACCGAAGATGAAGAAAAGGAAGCTACTGACAAGACTCAGGCTGCCTTGCAAAAATTATTGGCCAGCAAAACTGCCTTGAACAATCCTTCCGGTTCTGCCATGGTCAATGCGGAAACCTCCAAGAATATGGAAGCCAAGACGAAGTTCATCAAGTACACCCCCCGACCGGACGCTCCTGGATACAATCCTGCTGCTGCTCAACGTGTCATTCAAATGGTCCCCAAACAAGTCGACCCCATGCAGCCTCCCAAGCACAAGCACGTCAAGGCACCAAGAGGACCAGCCGAAGATCCTGTTCCCGTCTTGCATGCACCGCCCAAGAAACTCACCAAAGAAGAACGCGACAAGTGGAATGTTCCCGCTTGTATTAGTAACTGGAAGAATAGTCGTGGGTATACGATTCCGCTGGACAAGCGATTGGCCGCCGATGGTCGTGGATTGCGAGAGCACACGATCAATCCCAATTTTGCCACTCTTTCCGAGAGTTTGTACGTGGCCGAAGGACAGGCACGGCAAGAAGTCCGTTTGCGAGCCCAAGTCCAAAAGAAATTGGCCATGCAAGAACGAGACAAACGAGAAGAAGAATTGCGAGAATTGGCCAATCAAGCAAGATTGGAACGCAGTGGATTGGCTGCTGAGCAAACCGCCGAATCCATTGATCATCCACCCACCCCGGAAGACAGTGAGGAGGACGAGGAGGAAGAAAGCGCACCTCGCAATCGAGCCGAGGAGACTGAAGAGGAAAAAGCTGCCAGACAACGAGAAAAGCTCCGACTGGAACGAAGGAAGGAAAGAGAACGTGAATTGCGACAGGAAAACAACATGGAAATCAAAAAGCGCAAGCTGGAAGCCGATCGCGACGTTTCCGAGAAGATTGCTTTGGGAGTCCATACGGGTACTGGTGGTGCCGGAGAAGTTGATTCTCGTTTGTACAGTCAATCGGCCGGAATGGACTCTGGGTTTGGAGCTGACGATGAGTACAATGCCTACAGCAAGCCCCTCTTTGATCGCCAAGCTGCTGCCTCATCGGGTTCTATCTACAGGCCCACACGGGGAGAGACTGAATACAATGCCGATGAATCGTATGACAAGTTGGTCAAGGGCGGTACTTCCAAATTTCAACCGTCCAAGGGATTTGCCGGAGCCGAAGGTGGTGCTGACATTCGTGCTGGGCCACGGTCAGCACCTGTGCAATTTGAAAAGGGAAAGAAGTGAGCTACTACTAACTAAATGGAATACTACATTGCAATTTAACTTGAACATTTTACTATGAAGCCATTGTCACTTCTTCCTCTCGGAGCTTGCGCATCAAATCCTGGTATCGTGCGCTGCATTCCATCAACAGTTTGTTGCCCTTTGCCTTTTCGGATGCGGCCTCCTCCATTTTCACTTTCCAGGAATTGGAAGCTTCCTTGTCACCCTTTGCTAGTCCCATCGCCATTTGTTCTTTGCAGTAGCCTTCCATAGTCATGGCGTCGGATATTTGCGTCAAGATCGGATTCGAATCGTTGAGCTGGTTGGTGAAGCAGTCCACCTTTTGTTGGGCATGATCCTGGGCTTTTTGGTCGCCCCTCGCCTTGGCGTCGGAAACTTCCAACATGGCCTTGCTCACCTCTATGGAAAGGAACAAGGTCAAAAAGTTTCGAATTCTGCGCAAAATTAGGGGTGAGTTCGTACTTCAATACTTGCAGAACGAAAAGGACATGCACTTGCTTACCCAAAACCTCCACAACCTGGTTTGATAGCCAAGCCATCTTGACTTTTGGTTTCTGCACAGACTCGCTGAATGTATTCGAAGAAGGGGGCTTCCTCATGTGGCTCTCGTTGCAGAATATTGGAGGTGAAAATTTGGTATAGACTGTTGCAGTAATTGGCATCGTGAGAAAGGTCATGAGCAATGCCATAATCGGCTCATCCAAGCATACGTACATATCGCCTCCTTGCACATCACAAAGAATCTTGTTTCGTACAATTCCCAAGTAGGTCTCTTCAGAAACGCCATCACCCAACAGGCTGTATAGATTCTTGTAGCGTGACTCTAGAATAGCTGCAATAATCTCGTCTTTCTTGACCTGATAGGAATCGTCTTCTCCAAGCTCTTTGTCAAGAATCTCGGAGATGCTTTGTTCTGTGACATCTAGGCTAACGGCACCATCGGGTGCCACGTGGCCACTATTTTCCAACAGCGCAATGGTAGCTTCCGCGAAAGTTGATGACATCCCAGCGCATTCGACCAAGTGAGCGACATCCACAATTCCATAGTAGGATCTTGGAATGTTTAGAAATGTAAATCCCTGAACAAAAGTGGATGGTGTGAGGGGCGACCAAGTTTAAAGACACTCACGCAACGGAAACAAAAAGGGCAACGTACCTCTCCAGTGACTTCGCGCATATCGTTGCACCTCTGGATGAATTCCACCAGGTTACCAACTCGGGATGCGACATGCTGGATTCCTTGACCAATCTCTTCCAAGAAACCATGCACGTGACTGACAATACCAAAATGAAGTGTGAGGTGAACCATCCCAACGAATTAAACAGGATCAAATATCTATTCATTCGCACTCACCCGACTTCGCTAAGCGCATTATTGATAGGTAAATACACCTGACTTTGATCTCGTAGTACTGCAGCTTTGTCAGCACCACGGAATAGCGACTCGTTGCCAGTCACTGTACTTTCAATTTGTGCTTCTCCGGCAGCGACAACTCCTGCATTGAAATCTACTTTTGGTGTGAATCCCAACGTATCTTCCAAGGTACTTAAGAATTCGGTGCGGCTAATAACATTTGACACCCAGTGATCACAATACGCGGCTTGGCTACTTTCATCGAATGTTGCATCGACCCGATCTAGTCCGGGCAGTTTGCAAGTTGTTTCGTCCTTGGAATCTTTGCTTTCAATGAATCTGAGTAGAGTTCCAGCATCGGCTTTTCTATTTTCATCATTTGAACCGCCCTCGTGGTGATAATACGCGAAAACTTCGAGAACTTGAGCATCGTCATAGTTGTTGAAGGCGTGAATCAGATTTGGATGCTTCTCCTTGTATCTCTGGTGGACCAGGCTGGCATCATTGACGTCGAATCCCAAAACTGCAATCCCCTGTCTGTGTGCTTGATGCTCATAAAAACGATGAATATTTTCTGATGAAAGAAACGAATCAGTACATGCAATGGGCTTCCACTTGAGCTGTCGTTATCTTTCTTTCTCACCTGCGTCAAAATGTTGATAACTGTCGGACGAATTATCCTTGTCGCCATCAGCTGCCGTTACAACAATCTGAACACCGTTTGGGTCCCTTGACGTGACTAATAATGATCTTGTGTTTGTACTTTCCTTTCCTTCAGGGAGCCGGCAACCTGTCACTCGAAATCCGAAACCCACCAAAAGTTGCTTCACCACATCACGATTTTGCGGGATGAAAGGCTCGCCCGGATCAGCTGATGGGTTTTGAGACTTCCATAATTCGCGTTTTTCTGACAAACTTTTAGAGCTTGAATAAAGTGAGAGAGAGTTCAAGGATTCTTCCAGCTCCTTGTACTCTGAAACACTCCCAATGTGATCGGTATAGAGTTGGAGGTGGGAAAAAGATATCTCCACATCATTCGTTGTACTCTCCAGTTGAAACTTTAGAGGTTTATGTGTGTGGCAACACGTTTGCGTTGGAACAAATGCAGTTACTTGTAATGAGAGGATGGAAAGCAATACAACAAGACTCATGATGTTATGATCTCATCGGCGGAGGGAAAATGATGACGGTGTCGTTTTCTGTCTTTTTTTGTTTAACTTCATTTTGCGAGGGTCTATCCTAGCTCCCGTAACTACGACGAACAATGTCGGATGGAACAGCAGACGCCATGAGCCAATTCACACCAAATGACAAATAGCAAGTTACAGAAACATACCTACAATAGTAGGAGTAGTTGTGGGCCAGCTAACTGGTACTTATATATATAACATTAAGCGGCTATACTTTTTCAGTTTTACGAAACTATAGGTACCTCTACTCTTCTTCGTATTCTTCTTCTTCCTCATCATCTTGCTCTAGCCAGTTGAACCATTCGACGGTTTGAATTACAGCATTCATCTTCCCTTGCTCGTACTGAGGAGTTTCGTCTTCCTTCCACATGGCAAACGCATCTTCATCGGCCAAATCGAACTTGTACATCGATCTGAACATTGCTTGAACAACAGACTCGCCATCTAGTTTTGGGAAACCAAGCTTGTCACAGTACTTTTGAATTCCAACCAAAACTTCAACTTGCTTCAACAGATCGTCTTCGACCAAAGACAACAAAGCCGCCCCATATTTGGTTGGTTCTGCCCATTTGCACTCAATATCAGGGTTGAGCTTTTCAGTTTCTTGGAGAAGTGTGAACACAAGCTTTTCGATGCTTGTAATGACCTTGTCTGAAACCCATGATTTCAAGTCCTCGCCCATCTTGTTTCCACTGATAAATTCATTAATGACACTTGAATCGTCAATGACCTTGGCAACGTCAACAGGAGCTGGAGCAGCCTTAGCAGGTTGAGGCTTTTCTTCTTCGGCCTTCTTGGTTGGGGGCTTGAGGATACTGTCTTCTTGTGCTTTTGTTGGTACCTTCAAGATATTCTCTTCGACTGGAGGAGCCTTTGGTTTCAGCAAATCAGCAACGCGAGATTTGGCGGGCCCACGGGATCCTTGTGACTCATAGCGATTGTTGTCATATCGGTCGCCTCCACGTGGTGCATATCCACCACCATTGTCGTATTCATCGCGTCCTCCGCGTCTGTCATATCCACCACCACCACGTCCATGGTCATCACGGCCTCCAAAAGGTCCTGATCCATTATCGTAACGGTCTCGAGAGTCTCGGTCTCGAGCACCACGTTCCACGTAGTCACTGTCAGAGGCTGCAGCTTGGGCAAAACGAGAGTTTTGGGTAGGTGGAGGACCACGGTTGTCGAAGCGTCCGAAACCACCCCCACCACGGTCGCCTCCACGTCTATCATCATCTCGGTCATACGATCTGTCAGCTTCAGCAGCTGCCGCAAATCTCGAGTTTGCAACTGGAGGTGGTCCACGATCGTCCCGATCACGGTTGTACGATCTGTCAGATTCAGCAGCGGCAGCAAATCTCGAGTTTGCGACTGGAGGAGGACCACGGTCATCGCGATCGCGGCCATACGATCTATCAGCTTCAGCAGCTGCCGCAAATCTCGAGTTTGCGACTGGAGGAGGTCCACGGTCATCGCGATCGCGGTCATACGATCTATCAGCTTCAGCGGCCGCAGCAAATCTCGAGTTGGCAACTGGAGGTGGTCCACGATCATCCCGGTCGCGGTTGTACGATCTGTCGGCTTCCGCGGCAGCCGCAAATCTCGAGTTGGCAACTGGAGGTGGTCCGCGGCGTCTGTCGTCGCGTTCTTTGTTCTTCTCACGTTCTTCGTCGGCCAAATCGGCGAATCGCTTATTCACCACTTGCGGGGGTCCTCTGCTATTATTATTGTCGTGTCTTTGGCTTCGGTTATTTGACTATGTATAAAGGAAGAGAGCAAAATTTAGCCATTGAAACAAATGAAACAAGTTCCGACACAAAAATTTTGGATTCTTACATCACGCTTGACATCTGGAGCGCCTTCCAGTGCAGCAGCTCTGGAATTGACAACTTCAGGTTCTCTTCGCTTCTTTTCTTTCTCCTTTTCGGCATCTTGTTCACTGTTTTCACCCTTTTCTTCGACGAGTTCGGGTTCTTTTCGTTCTTCCTTTGATGGTTCAGCGGGCTTTTTCTCGACTGGCTTCTTTTCGACTGGAGCAGCATTTCCAAAAGGATTAGACTTTGGCTTGGGTTCTGCAGCTGGTTTTGACTTTGGAGCAGCTGGCTTGGGGGCAGGGGCAGTACGTCCCTTGAGTTGCAATCGAGGACGTTCCGCTGGAGCTGCGCCCCCACGGTCTCCAAAACCACCACCGCCTCCTCGGCGATCATCAAAACCGCCTCCACCTCGGCGATCGTCAAAGCCGCCGCCTCCTCTGCGGTCATCAAATCCACCACCACCTCTGCGATCACCAAAGCCACCGCCTCCACCTCTACGATCGTCGTCTCTTCCACCACGATCACCAAAGCCGCCACCGCCTCCACCTCTCCAGTTGCCACCATCGTCTCCTCCTCCACCTCTACGATCATAGCCTCCTCCTCCTCTGTCATCACCGTAACCTCCGCCACCGCCACGGTAGCCTCCACGGTTGTCATCACGATCGCGGTAGCCGCCGCCTCCGCCAAAGCCTCCGCCACCACCACCTCGATCACCGCCAAAGCCTCCGCCTCCGCCACCTCCACGTCTCCAGGAGTTGTCGTTGTCGGCACGAGACATTTCGCGGTCGTCGTTGTCATCACGTCTTGCACGGCGCTGGAAGGATCCATCATCATCAGGTCTAAAAAGGGTAACAGCATAACATTAGGTCAGAAGTGGTATAAATTGAGAGAGGTGATTCAAACATCAATTTTGAGCTGATTCCAAGGAATCAATTCTGTGGAAAATGGAACACTTACGCTCTGACTTTTGGAGCTGTGGGTAGCGCTGAAAGATCATTCGTGGGCTCCCCTCCCATGAAGTCCCCTAGGGACATTTTGACTCCCTTGTTTTGATTCTTTCCCATCTTGTTTCTTTCACTACAACTGTGGGAAAAGAAAAAAGTTGTGTGTATGTTGCAGTTTCAAAAATGACAGGTCGTTGATGGAGGCAGGCGGGAACGTCTGGCTGACACCCACTTTGGAGGAGCTTGGAAGTCCGAAGTGCGTGTTTCGAAAATCCCCAAAACCTTTTTTGTGGTCTGGCCTCGTCGGACAAAATTAGCAGGCCACATGCCACATGGCGGAAAGATGTGACGCAAGAAACGACAAGAATTGGAAGGAAGAACCAAGCGGACAAGCATCTGTTTCACCTTCTCTTGACCAATCTTACGTTTGAAATATGATGTTGAAAATCGTTGTTGGGCTTCTTAGTGCCCTCTCTGTCTGCAGTAAGTGATTTGAGTCGACAAGATGGAAGATGATGGTTGGATTTTAGCATGATTCCAATGATTCTTCCGATTGGCATCTCTTTGATATCTTTTGGTTTGAATCACACACAACCCATATACTGATTTGTTTCATTTTCCATTCGTCTTCTGTAGATGCCTTCCAACTTGGCAAGCCAGAGTTGCGATCTCAAACTCGAATGGCTTCCTCGCTTTACATGCCTTCCATGATGCCGGATGAGCCAAGTGAGGATCCAAAGCCAGCTCCACCACCGCCACGAAGGAGACCTCCTCTTCCAACTGTCACTGGGGAATCCGGTCAATTGGATGTTGTTTCTAGATTGCTCAAGGATCGTATTTTGTTGTTGGGAACTGATGTCAATGATGAAATGGCAAACGTTTTGGTGGCTCAATTGTTGTTTTTGGCGAATGAAGATCCAGATAAGGACATCACAATGTACATCAATTCTCCTGGTGGATCTGTTTCAGCTGGATTGGCAATTTACGATACCATGCAATTCATTCCATGTGATATTCAAACTGTCTGTTTCGGTATGGCCGCTAGTATGGGAGCCTTCCTTTTGGGTGCAGGAACGAAGGGAAAGAGAAAGTCGCTACCAAATGCTCGTATCATGATCCACCAACCTTTGGGAGGTGCTCAAGGTGCAGCCGCCGATATTGAGATCCAGGCCAAGGAAATTCTGTTCACCAAAGCTAGTTTGAACAAGTTCATGGCCGACTATACTGATCAACCAGTTGAGAAGATTGCTGCTGACACTGACCGTGATTTCTTCATGACCCCATACGAGGCCTTGGACTATGGTTTGATTGATGAGGTCATTAAAACAAAGACAAGCCACATCCCTCTTCCGGCAATGCCTAGCTTGCGAGGATAAGCTTAGGCTCATTATCTAGTCTTTTTCTTTACTATTTGTACTATCTCTCCTGTATCTGTTGCTAACTGATGATTGATTCAATTGTTTTCTTTCGTTGCTCTTACTTTTTCTTTATTGCAAGTGACTCTTATTTGATTGGATAATACTTTCAACAGTATCCCAAAGGTATGATGATTTAGATGTAAACGATACGACTGCTGCAGTATATTAGAATGACGTTTCTAAGCACTAGTCACCACCTCGGACACAGTTTCAATGGCATCTCCTGCCGTCCCGTTTGCTCCTGACTCCGGTTGAGACCTTCGGGCATTCCACGACAAGATCTTGTTTACCGCAGAAACATAAGCTCTAGCGGAAGATGTGATGATATCAGTGTCGGAACCAGAACCAGAGAATTTACGGTTCTTGAAATCTCCGAATTGTGAATGGATAGAAGGAACATCATTTGGACCGCCTTCGATTGGAGAAACACTGACTCTTGTAACAGCCAAGGCCTATGTTGACAAAGTGTTGAAGAATGTGTTAGACAAGATCTTGTTCAAAATCATCCTTGGAAAAATCAATAATATACATCCATTACTTACCTCAATTCCTTCGGTCACCGAAGTCAAGGAATAGCTTTCCAATTCAACAGAGATGCCCATTATTTGATCAATGGCCTTGTAGACAGCATCGACGGGACCAGTTCCAGTGGAGGCTACATATCTTTCGACCATGTCTGGGCCACGCATCTTGACAGTAGCTGTGGGAATGCCAGACATTCCAGTGGAAACTTGAAGGCCGGTAACCTGCCACATCTGGTTGATGTTGCCGGCTTGATCCAAGACCAAAGCTTCCAAATCTTCGTCTTCAAGGCCACCCTTTCGCTTCTCGGCGACTTCCTTGAATCGAGCAAAAACTGCGTTAAACTTTTCTGTTTCAAGAACGTATCCAAGTTCCTTCAAACGTGTGCCAACGGCATTGCGTCCAGAGTGCTTTCCAAGGACGATTCCAGCACCAGAGTCATTATCACCTCTCATCAAACCAATACTCTCTGGAGTCATGATCTCGTATGTACTCTTGTTCTTGATCATACCGTCTTGGTGGATTCCAGATTCGTGCTTGAATGCGTTGGCACCAACAATAGCCTTGTGTGGTTGACAGATCATACCAGTGTATTCAGACACCATCTTGGAGGTTGAACTGATGTGGACAGGGTTGATGGCAGTGTAAAGCTTGCCAGTTCCAGGACCTCCCTCAAAGTGTGTTTCGCCCTTCAAAGCCAAAGACATGACAACTTCTTCAAGAGAGGCGTTTCCGGCACGTTCACCGATTCCGTTGATGGTACATTCCAACTGACGGGCTCCATTCAAGGCACCAGCCAAAGAGTTGGCGGTGGCAAGACCAAGATCATTTTGACAGTGTGTACTGAAGACAACCTTGTCTGCTCCCTTGACATTCTCTCTCAACTTCTTGATCAGACCACCGAACTCCCACGGCATATTCCAGCCGGTGGTATCTGGGATATTGAGTGTGGTTGCTCCAACCTCGATAACAGCAGATAAGATTCTGTAAAGGAATTCCGGGTCGGATCGGCCGGCATCTTCTGGAGAGAATTCAATATCATCACATCCCAAGCTCTTGGCAAAAGTGACGGCATTCACAGCAATCTCCACGACCTCATCAGGAGTCTTGTTCAACTTTGTTTCCATGTGAATCTTACTAGTGGCAATGAAGGTGTGAATTCGCGGACGGGTTGCTCCCTTGACGGCATTCCAAGCTCTTTCAATATCCTTAGGGTTGGCACGAGAAAGACCACAGATGACTGGAACGTATCCATCTTCGAAGATTTCGTTTCCCACGTTGTCGGCAATATTCTTAACAGCTTGGAAATCGTCTGGAGAAGCAATTGGGAAACCGGCTTCAATAATATCAACACCAAGTTTGGCAAGGTTTCGTGCAATTTCAAGCTTCTCATCCGATGTAAGAGTAGCTCCTGGACTCTGTTCTCCATCTCTCAAGGTTGTGTCGAAAATTCTGACGTAATCAGGATCAGGAATCACACCTGGAATGTATTCTGGACGAGGTCTTCGTGCGTATAGGTCACTCTTGGCATCATCACTAACCATAGAAACCTTCACTGAAGTTCTTTGTGTCGAAAGTGTAGTGCTGGGTGTACTCAAGTGTTGTGGTTGTTGAAGAGCGCGAGGAGTGAAGGCTTCGACTCCTCCAAAAGAGGACGAAGCCGCAAGCATGGCCAAGAGGGCACCTCCGAAAGAAAGATTCATCTTGTTTCAAGTCTGGTTCAGTGGATGAGATATATGAACCGAAAAGAGCAATTGCGTTTGTTGAACCTTTTGGCTCATCAAACGTGCGCCACTTCGCGCTTCATTTGATGGATGGAAAAAAAGGAGATGTGGGGTGAACGGCCAGACCTCCTTTATATTGAACTCGGAAAATGGGCTACCTGTATTCTCTCTGCAACTGCAGTAACTGTAGCTACAGATCACTGCAATACTGTCACTAGATCATTACAGTTGAATTCCATCGCGTAGTACTGCTAACGTCTATCTCCTGTATGCATCAGGGAAACGAATGCTCGCCTTGAAATCTGATCCTTTTCCTTATGACTGGATGCCCCTAGCTTCTTGCTTTCTAACTCTCCCATCACTAAAGCTCTCACTATCTTCAGTAAACTTCTTTGGTACTCCCTTCTCCAATTTCACCTATCCATCCGATTCGATACAGTCCGTTTGATTTTTATAATATTCTTATAACAGGTTACAAAGTCTAACGTTGAGTTCCTCCACGTTTGCCCTTTCCTCCCATGTGCTTAGGAACCTTTTGGAATGTGCTGCCCTTTGGTGCTTGTACCTTTCCACCCTTCTTGGCGGTGGTCTTGCGGGCCTTGACCTCCTTGAGGGCAGCCTCTCGCTGTTGAGATCTGAATCCAGATTTCTCGGCAGCCTTTTTCTTAATGTCATCCAAAGAAGCACCAACAACAGCTCTTTGAACCTTGTTGGTACGACGAGTGCGCTTCTTTGCAGTGGTCTCTGTGATACCCTTCTTGTGAAGACGTCTCCAGGCTTGAGTCCACACAAGCTTTGCGGCCTTCTTTCTTTGAAGAGTAAGGCTGTGTGCCTTGGAGGTTCCAAGCCAGATGGGCTTACCATCACGACGGATCATAAGCTTTCCATTTCCAGGATAGATTCTGTACTCCGAAAGAGCGCAAAGTTCGGCTACAAAGCAAAAAAGTTATAATGTCAGAACAGAGTTCATGAAAAAAATTGTCACATTTGTCATCATCATCATCGATCCATCGTCATTTCGAAACTACGATAACGCCAGCACCGTAACCCAAACCCCAATCCGAGCAATTTGTTGCATAGTCCCCAAGACTGCATGGTAGATATCGAAATTTCACTACTCACTTGCGATCACCATTTTCTCTTCGTTGTTGTTGTATCAACAGCAAGTTGAGACTAAACTGAGTTTCGAATCAAATTTTCTACGTAGAAAAAAGTACTGACCGAAGGGGGATCAGTAACTGGTAAATTCAGAAACTTTAATCGATCGGGTCAAATTTGCGATCGAGCTAGTCGAATCGCACATAACGGCAATTGATTTGATTCATTCATTCATTCGAGAGTAAGTGAGGGTGCCGTTATCCATACGAAGCACTACCAGTACTTCCATCCTGAACAAAATAATAAACCGTAAATGCCTGTGCTATCAAATAATTCTCTACTAGTTTTTGAACAAGTCTGCGACAGTTCGAGACCTCTGGAAATTGACCGATTCAACACTACATCCACTTTTCTTGTAAAAGGTCGCAGCTTCGTTCAGAAGGGATGTCAGAAAGCACACCATGAATGCCTGTTCATTAGCCACCTTTGGAGTCAACGGTGTTCTTTCTTTGGCATTTGGTGGCTTTTTGAAGTCATAAAGCGTCGCCAGGTTGGCAGGAGGTTCCTCAAAAAGTGGTGTCTCACATTCAAAAATGTCGGTTGGTATTTTTCGTTTCCCAAAGAACCACTCTTCTCCAAGGGAATATCTTTGGCATAAATGAATCACTGAGGGAAGGGAATACTTACTGTGGTCTGGGCCTTGAGCAAAGCCACAAGTTTCTGAAGGCGGGATGACGTCCACCAGTGGCCACCCTTCACCTCCAGTCCCAGGGCTTGACACCATCAATGAGTCGATAAGTTGGTGAGGAAGTTTCAAGTGAGCTGCTGCAATGCAGTATGCATACATTTCGGCAAGAAGATGTGGGTATTGAGCGTGGACTCTTGGAACAAATTCCGACCATTTGTTGGCAATCTTGTACATGTCACCAAGGGTGCCTAGATACGGTGCCCCTACTGGGTAGTACAAGTTACCATCCTCCTTTGATACTTGCTTTGCCGGCGAGTCGGGACCTGCAATCTTGTCCAAGTCAAATTTTTGCCATTGAACGCCTAATCCGTACGTCTGGGCAAATGGCATGCCCCTTGTCACTTTGGTCCCTAAGATCTTATCCCCTTGTCGAAACTTGCTGATCACTGTCTCCTCCATATCTGAAAAGTCACCAGTTATTGGTCTTGTCAACGCCATATCAGGGTCGTTTAAGATGACGATATCGTCTGGATTGCTAAACTTGCCATCATTAAATCCCAAAAGTTCAAAATTTTGTAGCCAGTGTCTCAGTCCATATGGTTTATTGAAAAACTTGTAGTCTCCCACTATTTTTCCTTCTTCATTGACAACTTGAGAGAAGTGAGGAGTGAAGTGTAGATGAAATCGCTTGCTCATATGACTGATATTGTTTTCAAACCAACTTTTCATTTGGTCGGCCTCTGTATCCTCACATCCAGACACTATCCGCGTGACGTGGCCCGGTTGCTTGACTTTCATCGCCGTGTAGTATACTAGATAACTTTGCCAATGTTGATACGGTGAGCAATCAGTCGAGAAAATCTAGTCGAATTGGTGCATTGTGGAAGAGTCATCAATCATCGTGAGTGGTCGTGTAGTCCAACAACCGCATGGAAGAAAAGTCATCAATGAACGTCAAGCCTTACCAAATGCAACGTCTTCCCATCGTATTTTTCAAGCGCGCCGTCTTCTTCTGCAGTCAGCAAGCTTCTTCGCATATATTCATTTGATTTCGATGATCTGGAGGCGATTCTTGACGCAATTTTGGACAGAGGTCGCCGAAGTAATGGATCGAGTCCCCGTGACTTTCTGTAGTGCTCTGACGCGTATCCCATGAATATGAGCATGGCAGGTGTGACGAAAAGTACCCATGTTGGGATAATCTGGTGCTTTTTGGCATTGCTTCTTGCCCTTCGTTGTCTTGTTTCCTTTGTATTGGCACGGGACATTTTCAAATTTTGTGTCGTATTTTCATCATCTTCAATCTTGTCCATTCGCTTTTCTGCCTCCATCACTGTAGTAGTCGAACAAGTCGATCGGAGAATAATCCAATCGACATCGCGCGATAGACCGACGTTCTTCAAACCGAAGAATCCTTTTCAAATCACAAACTCAACTAGGTACGAACGAGCAAGAGTAGAGGTGCAAGCAAGATGAGGATTGGGTCATCAGCATTTAGCGTCACAACAAGAATCTGCCGAATCGGAGGGAGGAAAGCAAAACGTGTGTGCCAGATTGAAAGCTTCGACACACAAATCTTACACATGAATTTTCCACGTTTCAGGAATCCTCCGAAGAAACCCGCGAGACTATGATGATTCGATTGACGCATCTCGCCACAATAAGTTTGTGCTCGTTCAGTGCATTCACCGTTGAAAGTTTTCATGTCGGAAGCACCTTCCGTTTGTCGAAAGGCGCTTCCCTTTATGCCAAATCTCCTTTGCCAGATGCAGCTAGTAAAGAAGAAACTGCGGTCGTGGAACCAAAACTGGATGTCACCCCAGCAGCGGAAGCAGTGTCCACAATAGCTGAGGCTATTGAAGCTATTCCAGAGACCATGGATGAGGGTGTCTTCAAGTTCAACAAGCATTTGATTGATACAGTCTACGATGTCATTTGCTTCTTGTATCCGGTCAAAGGCAACGAGCGTGACTTTGCTCGCTTCTTTGTGCTTGAGACTGTGGCCAGAGTTCCTTACTTTGCGTATCTGAGTTGTTTGCATCTACAAGAAACCTTTGGGGTACGGTATCCTAACATGTCGGATCGGATGAGAACACAGTACGTTGAACTTGTGCCCCCCTCAATGTGATGTTTCTGTCTTTTCACTATCTTCTTTTTCTAATAACAAACTCACCGTGTTCCTTCTCCCACTATGCAGTTACGCTGAAGCCGATAATGAACTGCATCATCTCCTCATCCAAGAAAGCTTGGGCGGGAACTCCAACCCAGTCGATCGCGTTTTGGCACAAACCATGGCCTTTTTCTATTATTGGTATGTGATTGCAATCTATACCTGGAACGAAGCTGCAGCCTACCATTTGTCCGAATTGATCGAAGATCATGCCTTTGACACCTATTCCAATTTTCTGAAAAACCATGAGGATTTCCTCAAGTCCAAGCCGGTCCCTGACATTGCTCGAAAATACTACGAAGAGGAGAACCCATTTCTCTTTGATCTGTACTGTACAGTGAAGGATGATCCAGAATGTCCACTCGACGAGCAATCGTCCGTCTGCTCCTCTCGACGCCCAAACTTGGAGACTCTGTACGATGTCTTTGTTTGCATTCGAGATGATGAAAAAGAACATTGGAAGACACTCTGTAATTTGGTGCAGTTCAACGAAATGAATGCAGTGTCTGCGAAGGACGTGAAGAGTACCGTGCCAGCTCCATCAGAGAGTGCATAAATTTGAATTTCGGACTCAAGGTATTGCTCATGAGCCATCCCAACCTCATTTCTTGCGTGGTGATTCTGATCATACACAACAATACTCATGTGGATCAATCCATTGATCGTTTGGATCACCACGACCACACGACCATTTCCCGATCGCCAACTACTTCATTCTGGAAAAGCCAGTCGAAAAGAAAAAAGGCACATTGTGGCACAAACTACAGTACAATGCAGACGACGCAAGAATAATAAAATAAGCCGCGCTATTGCATTGTCTCAACATTGATAGTGGTAGCTTATTGAAAATTGGGAAGCAGGTGCCCAAAAGAAAGGGTTGGGTTGTTTGTTGCACTTAGATCAGATTTGATTAGATCAGAATCCAAATGAGATATAGCATCACTGCAATCATTATGATTTGTCCAATTACAGGGAGGGATCGGAAAAGACTGTACATGTCCACCACAAACGTCAGAAAGTATTCCTTCATACTGTAGTCGTCTTGCGCGTTGGCACCACCATTTCCTGCCAATAATCCTCGCGTCGCATCATTGGAAAAGTTGTCTTCGAAATTCATGGATACCCGCCCAAGTGTCGGATTGCCAGCTCCACCATCCGCCAAGTTGGGTGGATTGTAATGATTACTACTATAACCGCCCATTTCGGTCGTGGAAGGCTCCATGGCCGCTTCTCGTTCTCGTTGGACTCGAATGCGTTCCAAAAGGGAGCTTCCTCTCATCAGACTTGACTCTGAAGAACTTTGCGACATGGAAGACAATGGTCCTGCTGCTATTGGTCCATCTCCTTGTTCGTTCAACGCGAGTAATTGTTCCTCCATGGTCCAATGATTTGCGTTCGTTTTGTTTGTTTTGGAAATGAAATCTGTTGGCCGTGTTTCGAGCGAGGTGGAAGGGTTCAATCACGAACGGGAATCACGAGTAGCACTGCGCGCCAGTTTCCACTCTTCATCTCCCTTGAAGCAACTACTGTAGCACTTCTCAGACGTTGTTACATGACATATCAATAGCCCATTTCAGAACTACATTCAACTGCCTGTGAACAATGCCAAAAGTCAACCGAAAAAAAGCTTCTGATGTAGTCGACTCATTGGGCTCCCCTGATAAATCAGAGGAAGACAAGGGAAACAACAAAGCATCTCCAACTGTTTCAGATGCGAAGGCCAAGTCGAAAAAGATGGCACCCGAGGATCCCAAAAGCATTGATCCTCCGGAAAATGATTCCTTTGATGTTGTGTTACCATCTTTACTAGGGACGGCCAATGCCGGAGAGTGTACCCTGATGGTAGAAGTGAGCCCAGAAGATGCCAGATTGTTGGATTACGAAGGCATGTCGGGAGCCATTGGCAGATTTGAAGCCAATCACCATGGCGGTGAGTTCCGGAGGGCTTCAGACATTTATTTTGTTCTATCCTATTGTTACGACAATATATAACGGTGGTCTCACCATGTACCCTTTCTAATTCTTCTCTTCTAAAATTACAGTCATTGTGGATCTGAAGGGAAACCGATATCATGGTAGCATTTTGCCAGGACCCACTGCGATGGTGGTGAATCTAGTCAAAGGAGGCCAACTAAAGGTGGAAGGTATTACGGATGAATATGCAACTTTGGCCAAATCCAAAGATGTCATGAAATCCCTCGATGCAGTCGTCAAGGGTGAATTCGATGATGGTTTTCGGGTCCGGGATGATAATGTCAACAAGACGGCCAGGCAGGCGGCTGCGGCCAAGGTTGCAGACAAGAAGGCCGAGGATAACAAATCATCTGTGACACCTAAAACGAAAAGGAGAGCGAGTGTTACACCTGCGAAAAAGAGTTCAGGCAAGAAGAAAAAGACAACATGAGATTGTTAAAGTCTTGCACAGCATTATTGTTGGGCAAGTCGGAAGCAATGGTTCGGAACGAGGAATGGCTGCTATTATGGTGCATGTCTCCTGGCATACCAGAAGCAGTGTAAGCAAATCAAGTTAGATAGACGCGGGGAAAACAGCAATACTTTGAATAGATTTGTCAATCAGACTGCCATTGAAAAACTCTCAGCATCGTACCACAAAACTGCGGTCTCCCAATCTCTGAATTAATTTTTTGCAGCAATTGTCTAGCCAGATTCATCAGTGGAAAGGCATGATTCTACTATCGGAAATGAGCGGCGAGAACTAAGGTGCGACTGTGCGGAAAAGCTGAGATAGAACCTTGGACTTTTGTAATATAATTTATTTGTTTACTCTTCGGCCTCTTCATCTCCCCCGGTGATAGAGAAGTATCTCATTTCGTAAGAGTTCTTGCTAGCGGCAACAACACGAAGGTAATCTCTCAATTGTTGTTTCTTCAAGTATCTTTTGGAGAGGTACTTCAATTGACGCTTGGAGAATTTCAGGTCGGCTGGGCTGGCAACAGTCAACTTTGTGCGGTCTCTGGAGATGACAACATTGTTGGATGCGAGGGCTCCAGTCTTTCCTCCGATCTTGATACGTTCTTGAAGGTATGCCTCGAACATGGCAACATCCAAGACCTTATCGTCGACTGGTGCTGTGCAGTCAATGACGAATTTAACGACGCTCTTCTTTCCCTTAGCCTAGATTTACAAAAATGATGATTGTAATTCTGTGTGAGTACGCTGTTGCTGTAAAATTCAATCATTCAAGGAATTTCCATGATCCGCTGCCCCAACCCCATCAAACCACAGAGAAACCAACCAAAAAGAAGTCGTTCTCAAACGTCGTCTTTCTAGCTGGAGAAAACGTGAAATGAAGGGCCTCCGAATCAAAAAGCACAAGATCATCGATCTAGTGCTTTTGACCGGACAGGCGGATCATCGTGAAGACAATCTCTTACCATGGTTGATGTTTTTGATATTATTGTGAAAAAGATGTTGGGCTTTCGCGATAAATTTTGCAGTAAGCGGCTAAGCGGTATTCTGTCAGTCCTTTGTCCGGAACGCCAGAAAGGTGGATCCCTTCGATCCAACATGGCCGGCCGGCTCGCCAAACTCATTTCAAATTCAAAACCAGTTCCCGACCCTCAACAGGTTTTCCCTTCACCACCAGCACCAGCATCAACACACCATTGTGCTGATTGGTAACATCTATTCAAGTGTGATCGAGAGTCATTCAAGATGTCGACGATCGAAAAAGATGGCAAGGAAAATACCAGCAACCGACGTATGAGCGGCATGGACGAGAAACCATCGGTTGCTGCTTCTATCAAGACACCATCCAAGTCCACTCGATACAGCTTGGGGTCGGCGTCCAAGTACTATTTCAAGTACATGAATTCAAGTGCAAAGAAGAAACAAAAGAAGAATACGTCCCTGGTGCAGGAAGACAATCCAAACTTTTACCTTGACTACATGAATTCAGGGACAAAGAAGCCAAAAGGCGCTTACAACGAGGACGATACTGGAAATTTGAGCCTTCTAAGCATTCCTGAATTGGCTGGGAAGAGCTCCACCAGCAACAACAATAGCTCTCTAGATACGAGCGTACTGAGTCTGGCTTCCAGTAGTAGTGAAGGGAGCGATCTCTTGAACAAGACAACTTCAAGCGACACAACAGAGCTAACAGCGTCAAATTTCGTCTTGGCAGCCACTTCTCGGGCAAAAGTGAGAGAGCTTTCATTGGATCACAGCGTATGGACAAAGAACGAAGCAGTCAAGCCCACCACCGAGCAACCAAAGCCTGTCATCGCACAACCTCCAAGTTCGCGAAAACCTCTGGGTGAAAGACAATTTTCAGAAACTAGCACCAACATCAAAGCGACTCTTTCGCAAGATTCTACTGGCACTGCTCCTGCTGCCACGCCTAGTGGACGAAGACTTTCTATGCGAGGTGTTTCTCCATCTCTAAGATCTCGGATCAGTGCTTCGCCCAAGAGTCTTCGTAAGTTTACAGAGGACCTCAAGAACTCTCGACTTCAACGCCAGATGCAGCGAGAGATGAGTGCCAGGAAAAATTCTGCAGGCAACTCGGGTCTTTTGAATAATAGTGTTGCCAGTGCACTAGATTCAAGTCTTTTGCTTGATGGGTCCGGGCTCTCTGTGATCAAGAAGAAGCGTTCACGAGCATCCATGATGCCAAGGATCGGTAGTACACGGGACGACAAGAAAGAGACTTCTATGATGTCCAACGATAGCGGAGATACAACCGACGATATTCTTGGGGCAATGGATGAGATTTTTGGCCTAGCGAACAGCGATGACTATACAGAGGCACTATCAGAAAAGCCAAAGCGATCGTCTGTTACTGCAACAGCCAGTGCTGTGAACGAAGCACTGTCGCAAGAGTCCACCGAGGAGGACCCAACAAATGATTCTATTCCAGTAGCGGTTGCCTTCCAACGAAGCAGAAGAAGCAGTGGTATCATGGAGCAGCCAGAACAATTGGATGAAACAGAAGGAGCTCTCGCCTCAACCAAATCATCTGAGGCCTCTTCAAATGCGGAAATGGAATTCTCAAATGTTAATGAGACAAAGTCTACTCCTACCAAGCTTGCGCCGACCCCCCACAGCATTGCAAATCCTCGCCTTCTCGATTCTCCTGCTCGAAATACGCGGAGCGCCAAAAAGCAATTGAGCCATAGTCGTAATGACGATGCAGCATCGCTTGGGGATCTTGGCGATATGCTTGGAGGTGTCTCTGATAATATGAGTGCCAAGTCCTCGACGACGGAGAAAGATAGCGATATTAATGGCTCTCCTTTGCATAAGAATACCAACTCTCAGCGTTCCTTTGGATCCGGAGAGAAATCAGAGCTATCAGTGGAAACAGGAAGGGAAGCTGATGGCGACACTGCTTCAGTCGGGGTCTACGGTGATCTTCTCGGCGAGCTGACGCAAGAATCGATTAGTTGCCAACACGAAGAATCTACCGTAGAAACGGGTGAAGAAGGGGTCATACCATCACCAGGACCAAGTGTGTCTCACAAGAACAACAGCCCACAACAAAGCCAAGCAAAGGAAGGTACAACACCTACGAAACTTGTACCTACTCCAGCTGCTAGGGACACAGAATCTATCGCAAAACTTGGTGGTGTTCTTGACATTGATTCAGAAGTAGAAAATGCGACCGAGCAGAAAAATTCTCAGTCTCCTGCTGTGAGCAACTTGTTGACGCAGCGTTCTATGGGATCAGAGGAAAAACCTGGCATCTCGGATGAAACGGATGTAGGAGGTACCACAGAAACAGCATCTCTTGGGGATCTTGGTGGTCTTTTTGGTGGGCTGACAGACGAATCAACTGGCAACAAACAAGATGAATCTACCGCAGATGACGACAATGAAGAGGTTGTGCAATCGCCCGTCGAAAGATCGCCTAAGAAGAATGATGAGAAGGAAGGTACAACTATTACAAAACTTGCACCTACACCTCAACGAATGGAAAATCCGCGCCTCCTTGATTCTCCCGCAAGAAATACTCGGAGTGCCAAGAAGCAACAGAGTCATTCTACTGCCGGGGACGCAGAGTCTATGGGAGATATTTGTGCTAACAGTTCAAACGCAGATCAAGAGCAAAGTTCTTCTGCTATTAGCAACTTGTTGACACAGCGCTCTATTGGATCGGAAGAAAAGTCCGTCTTCTCAAGCAAAGGAGATACCACCGAAACATTGTCATTTCCCGACATAGGTGATATCTTTGGTGTCCTAACGCAAACAACAGCCGAAAGTAACTCTCCAATGGCTCCGCGACAGACATATTTCGAGAATGCGGACTCTCAAGTGATTGAATCGGAGAAGACACAGGCCGAAGATGCGAGCGTTGAGAAACTTTTGACGAAAGATAGCGACCAGCGCGGTCCTAGCCAGGACTCAAAGGTACCCAGTAGTCCTAGTGACTATCTGGCACCAGCAAAACTTGCACCCACTCCACAACGGATGGAAAAACCTCGATTTCTCGATTCTCCTGCTAGAAATACTCGAAGTGCCAAGAAGCAGCAGAGCTCTCGGGATGACGAAAATACAGCGTCTGTGGCATTTCGTGCCGTCGACCTTGGTGATGGAGCAGTCAATGGAAATATCAGTCAAGGTCAGAGTAGGTCACAGGACAAGGTCTCATCCCAGCGTTCGTTCGGATCCGAAGAGAAGTCAAGCCCTTTGCATGAGAAAAACACCTTCACCGAAACCGCATCTCTCGGGGATATCGGAGATATTCTAGGTGAAATCCCACAATCGTCACCAGAAAAAGCTTCCACTTCACAGACGAGTCAAGAAGATGCAGTGGTATTGAATTCGCCGCCTAGAGTGGGTCGGAGCTCCATGGAAGATTCTGGTTTTGATATCCCTTCACCGTCAAAGGATAGCACTGAAGGTCTTGACGATTCAAGCACCTCGTTTAATGCTCAGAGCGAACAGAAGTCTCAGCCTAGCAAATCATATCCTTCCCCTCAAAATGAACTTCTTGATCGAGATTCTAGTCAAACGAAGACAAAAGAATCGACGACCAAATTAACCACTACACCTCAACGAATTGAGAATGCACGCTTTCTCGATTCTCCAGCTCGGAATACTCGAAGCGGAAAGAAACAACAGAGTTCGGTTGATGATACAGGCGATCATACAGCATCGATTGCCGCCGATCTCAGTAGCATCTTTGGCAGCTCTACGAAACGTAGAAGTATGGACGCATCTATGAATCGCGACCAGGCTTTATCGCCCTCGGAAAACAATGAGTTGTCCCAACGATCGTTTGGATCCGTCGAAAAAGTGGATATACAAGACAGCGACACCAATACAGATACGGCATCTCTCGCTGATATCGGCGATATTCTTAGCGGGTTGTCACAGGATACTGGATACAACAGTTCTCCTGTCGCAGAAAGTTTGAGAGGACCAGATTCGCCAAGACAAGAACATAGCAGCCCGGTGGAGCAAATGGAGGAGAAAGCCATCTTCTCGCAGCGTTCGTTTGGATCTGAACAGAAATCCATCAGATCGGATGACGAGAATAAGGGAGACGATACCGAAACGGCAACAATCGGGGATATCGGTAATATTTTTGGTGGGCTTACAGAGCCGTCAGCAGAAGATAGCCCTGCCATCAGTCTGAGACGTGCTGCTTCAGCGGTATTGGATACTCATCGAAGTGTAAACGAAACAACAGATTCTGAGGAGACCGTATTGGAGAATAGTCTCATTGAGTCGAATGAGAAAGAGAATGATGTAATGCAAGGTGAATCAAATCAGTCGATTGGAATCGATGCGTCAAATGAAGGAGTTGATCAATCAATAAACCTTAGCTCTCCGCCAAGAATGTCTCAAAGTCGACCATCCAGTGGTCTCAGGCTGAACTCAAGTCAACGCAAGAGAAGAGCTACGCCCACAAAGCTTGCACCGACTCCAGAACGAATTCTAAATCCGAAGCTTGTCAATTCTCCTGCAAGGAACACACGGAGCTCCAAAAGAAAGCACCACGAAGGCGACGATTCTAGTTCTGTGTCTATTTCTTCAAGCATACCTTCATCAGAATCCGACGAAGAAAATTTGTCTTCTTCAAAGAGACACCAATTGACAAAGGAATCTTTTGGCTCGGACCTTTCAGTTTCCAAGGACGACGAAAACGATACGCGAACTGCTGCTTCCATGGAGGAAATCAATTCCATTCTTTTTGAGCTCGCCCAACAAGCACCAACTGAAGGTTCTCCCATTGCAGAATTGAACCCGATTGTACAGAACTTCGATGCATCGCAAAATGCATCGCAGTTCAAAGATGACACTGGGGATCTCAGCAGATCTCAAATTTCAAAAGAAGGGCTCGAACGCAACCATTCTCATATGTCGATGTCATCTGTGGAAGAGGAAACATCACAAAGTATGAGGAATACACGATCACACCACAGCATGATGAGTGAAGCGAGTAGAGATCATTCTATCGATATGGGAAGTCAACGTCAAGGAACTCCTAGCAAGGTGTCTTCAACGCAGAAGTCTCCCATGCGCCTGCAACCAAATTCACATGTAAAGCCAACGCCAACGAAGATTCAGCCATCCCCACGCAGAGTTTTGAATCCCAGGTCGATTCATTCACCCGCACGGAATACAAGAAGTGCAAGAAAGGCCGCAGAAGTCCACAATATGGAAAGCGATCAAGAAACGCGAGAAGAAAGTAAGCGAAAATTGCCACCGTACGATTCAGAAGACCTTAGATCTCCTATGCCGAAGAAGTTCAAGCCTGTGGGGATCTTGAGCTCTAAGAAACGTCGCGCACAGAAAACTGATAGCGCTCAGCGAACCATCTCATTCGGTTCGCCTGAGGCGGCTTTGTATCATGTTGGTAGCCCTTCAGGAAATTTTACTCCGCTACCTCGAAGCCGTGCGAAGGCACTTTTTGCAATTCCAAGCAAAAATGAATCTACTTCATCTTCGGACGTATCCGGTGAAGAGACTGTAGGAATCGAATCGAACATGCATATCCTAGTGGATAGAATCACTGCAGATAATATGCAAGAGTCTCCGGAACTCAGTCCAATTGCCAACGACCAAGACAGTTCGAGGATTCACAATTTGAGTGCGTCAGGTAAAAAGAGCATGGACGAAACTGAAGATAGCAGAGGAGACAACGAGCATACTGTAGAGCTGGAACTAGGTATTGATCAATTGTTGGCAAACGCATCCAAGGGCATCGAGGGGGAAAACGAACACACAGTTCAACTTGAAGGGGGTATGGAACAATTGGTGGCAAACGCCTTGAACTCCGAGGCCAAAGCACCACCACCGACAAATATAGAAAAATTCACTGATACACGAAATTCCTCTCCAGCAGATTCTTCTGTTGACATGGCAGATAGCCGCAGCATAGCTTCGATGAACGCACAAACAGGAAAGTATACATCTGAGTTCAAAATGACGGCCATGGACGCACAGAAGCTCGACTTTAGTATACAAGCCTCTGAAAGTGACAGTGACGATTCGATGGATGTCGATGAAGGAAACACTGTTCCCCTGGAAGTCGATATGACATCTTTGCTTGCTGCGAATGGGACACTTGGCAAGAAAAAGGAGATCATTGACAACAGCGTAGACACTACAGAAGATGAATGTCAATCACCACCGCGGCCTCCAGTTGCCACAGCAAGATTCTCTTTAAGCCAAGCGGACTCGCCCGAAAGCGTAAAGGCTTTTGAAAACTTGCTCGGACGTCAAGCTGAGGACCTCGCTATCTCCAAAGCGGAGACGAATGAATCTCAAATAAGATCGTCCCAAAGTCTTTCCGAAGAGTTTCTAAGCGAGCCGTACACACTTACGCTAGACGAACTGTGCGAAATTGGAGATCTCGAATCGAACAACAAGCCAGAAGGACCGGGAGGCACAAGCCAAGACGCTGTGGTAGAGTTCAACGCAATGGTGGAAGAGAGGAATTCTATTGCAATCTCGCGATGGAACCAGTTTCTTCAGGCTGTTTGTGGCGAGGTGGAAAACCAGGATCAAGATCTCGATGGAAAAGCTGCTTCTGAGTATGACGACATTCTTAGTGAGCAGTCACCGCATATGCGCAAACTGGAAGCTATGCTCCGATCAGAACAAGGAACCGAGGTACAGGAAAATATACGCGCCTTGGTGAAGGCCAACAAGGATAACGTCGAAGCTGAATGGAACGATTGGTTGAAAAATTTACTTGAAGCCTTTTCAAGTGAATGGTTGCCCGCCTTATCAAATGATTTGAAGAAGGAGTGCTCTACGTTAGATACTATCTCAGAACTTGGGGTACAAGCTTCAACAAAGATTGCAGCAATTAAGGATAAGAAAGTTCGTCGTGCAAGGAGGAAGAGTATCGGGCGTCGGAAAGTAAGTACATCGCACTTGATTTGTCCAGCAATGTTTGATTGAAAGCTCACGATTTCTTCATTGCAGTCACTGGCACGTTCCCTTCATGATGAAATCAAAGAACTTGAGGCCGAAATCTCGCTAACGAAGGCAGCACTCGATGACAAAAAGGAAAAAGAATCTGCGATAGATGCAACGATCGACGAGTTGCAAGAAATCCAAGTGCTTGCAAATGAAGCAAAGGCTCTCCGAGCCGATGCAGCACCAAGCCAAAAAGCTTACATGTCACTAAAAGGTCTTCACTCCTGGAATCCAACTTCAATGAATGAGTCAAATTTAGCTTTCGAGGCTGTTGGCCAATATGTGCAGACGACAAACACCATCACCTACAATTTGGAAGGTCCTTCGATTAGCACGGCAGTGTCTCATAGCGACTCAAGTACGGAGACAATGAAATATTCATCAAAGTCAACCTCGGCGATCGTCAAATATCTGTCTGCTTGCGTCGATGAGCATTCTAGCGCTGTCCGCCAGAAGACTGTCCCTTCCGCGGCTGAAATTGGTACGAGTATGCAGTCGTATATGTGGCATCTTGGAAGATTGGACCATACCGTCACAGAATTGCAATCGCTGAAGAAAAGATACACTACAACATTTTCGAGCAAAGGAAGCAGATTTGTCTTTTCCGTTGAGTACAAGAATTCTTCGACCTCTCTTCTTGCAGAGTTCGATATCGATCACAACTATCCTGCTTTGCCACTGGAAGTACAGCTCAATTTAATCAAGGGCGATATCGACCTTGATCGTGTTCGCAGGGGTCTGAGAAAGAGCGCGAAGCCAGGTTTTGGAAATCTATCAAGGGCATGTGGAATCATCTCTGCATTCGTGCCCTGAGGGCGGGCGCTCAAGTGAAGTGAACAACACAAAAAGAAGAAGCTAAGGTCATCTTTAGCATATAACTCTATAGTAGTGTAACAACAAGTGATTGAATGGCCAATCGCTATGCCAGCGTTCGTCCTGGCGGTGTAAAGTCGCTTCTTGGTCTCCCAAAATCTAATCGCTCGCCTATGTAGCCATTGTATCCTGCAAAATGATGATTCGCAGTATTATTTCGAGCGGACAGCATGACTTCCTCTCTTTCATCCTCGTCAGTTTCTTCCATAACACCACTGGCAAAAGAGAACGTCAATGCGGCAAACCCAAAGTATATAACTGTGAGGACCATGCATAAATAAGAAAAAGCCATCGTCGCCCTTTGCTCCCATTCCTTTTCTTCATAGTTGTAATTATAATTACGATTTCGTTCTTCCTCGTCTCTTGATTCTCGAATCTAAAGTTACACGTAATGAGGTAACAAAATTAGCAACAATGACATGAAACAAAAATGCATTAGGAATGCCTGAAGCCGAGATGATGAATGGTGCGGATGAACTTACTTCAAATTCTCCAAATAGAACTGAACACGTCAGCGTCATATTGGACAACATTAATAGTGCCCCAATGAACGATCCCAGTCCCAAAGGTGTCGTTCTATGTACGCTGCTCGAACAGCATGTATAGTATTGTCCCGACATTGGAGATTGCCAACCCAACAATACAGTCCCAAAGAGCGACAACAAGGCAGAAAATACCGCCGTCCAAGTAGCACAAAACGCTAATGCTCGAGAGGTTACCACAATGGTAGGATTGAATTCCTCCTCTTCCCCTTCTCGATTCCCGTCTTGATTGTAATCTTGATAATCCGAGTAGGCATCCTTGTTGTTTCGGTAGGATGACATGACGTAGGAAAAGGCTATTACAAAGGATATCGCCGTCACAACATTGGCCAAAAACCAAACAGAAGCCAAGAAGCCTCTCCGTGATGATATTTCTTCGCCACAAAATGTCGTTTGTGTCATGATTGTTCTATTGAAATTGTAATGTACCGAAGTTGGTTGTATGGTTCTTCGCGTAGTTTGGATATTTTTGAACCTGGTCTTCTCCCCCTTGTTATATGGCTATTCCTGTTTCTGTACGACTTGCTTCTTCTGTTCTTCTTGTGGTTCTGTAAGTATCAATTGGCTTGCAAACGAGAGTCGTCTCCTGCCATTGTCTTGTCTTCGACTCCTTTTTCGAAAGTTTTTCATTGCACGCGCACGATCATTTGAAATATCTTCAGCCCTGAAGAGTTTAGCGCCAGCCAACCATGATCCGTTACATTTACATTGGTTGCGGCCTTACGCGAGCTGTCTGTCTGTCTATCCAGCACCAATATTTGAAGATTTTGGGTAAATAGCACCATACGGTATACTACGGGCACCTTGGTATGCTTCGGTGGGGTACGAATCTTTGGAGCAAGGGGGTGCTACCGCATGCCCCAAATAAGGAAAGTACAAGATTGTATGATAATGCCATGGCAGTTTCTATAGTTATTTGCTTGTTGTTTGTATCATGATAGGTACAAGTACAGATGATTGTGCTGCATGTGGTGGTACTACTAACTGTACGGTAGCTTCCTCACTCTGCTGCCAGACTGGTGAGAGAGCAAAGTGGACACACCGACAAAGCAGTAGAGCACTTCGATTCTTTCCCACGATCAAACAAATACTCAAAAACATTGTCAACCACAATGTCTGCGCCGCATTGAAGTCGACATCTTTCTCGACGAGTGCTGAAATCATCCACCGATCCTAACATGTTTGCCGAATCCATCTTCATCTTCCACAATGATAGCTCCAGTAGCGAGATCATTTCCTTTCTGATGCATTGTCCCGCATGTTCCAATAACTGTAACACTTGTTTTCGTCTCTCCGTGATATCATCGTCACTTCGAATCATCGATCTAATTTCTTGTCCTGACAGACCGAATCTATCCTTCCAAACTGGGCTCCAACCAGATACTTGATCCGCAATGGCTGTTTCAAGAATTAAGTGTATCAGAAGAACAACCTTGCTGGATCGATTCTTCAACAAGTAATCCATCATTGTATGGCTAAATTTGTCTGTATACTCCAGCGCCGCCAAAGAGTACCTGTCTAGTAGACACTGGAAAATCTCGACCCTAGGTTTTGAGGATGTTGCGACTATATGAAATGGCGTCATGCCCATCGCATCTTCCAGGGAATCTTCTAACGATTCACAGGAGTCGATTGCTGCAGCAAGCTCTTCCACTGTAGTGCGAGAAGAGTGGTAACATAAATCATGAATGGGGAAGCCACTCCATCTGTCACGGCAAATAGTCCTTGTACCGGTACAATCAACGTGCAAAAGTTCAAGTCCCCCAATACCATGATTGCCTGCGAAATTCTGTAAAGAGCCATCTGAAATGGAGTAAGTGACCAGCGATTTGCAGCCCCTAAAGCTATCGTTGCCAACCTTAATTCCCTTTGTATCAGCTGGAATCTCAACACCGAGCAGACTAGCACAATCACAAAAGGCCTGAGATGCAATAAGTTCCAAACTGGATGGAAAGGCAACGGCATTCAGTGAAATACAACGACTAAACGCCCCATAGCCAATACTTTTCAGACCTTCGTGAAGATCAATCTCGACGAGGGAAGCACAGTCAACAAAGGCATGACCGCCAATACCATTTATCCGATTGTGAAGACCTACACTGACAAGGGATTTGCAGGCAAAGAAGGTAGCTTCTTCAATCTTCTCCACTGTTGTTGGTATGGATACGTCGAGGAGCGAGACACACATTAAAAAACAACGTGCCCCAATTCGTTCCAGTCCGTCCGGGAGGTCAATATCCACTAGCGATCTACATACCGAAAATGCCTGGCACCCAATCACCTTCAGTCCTTTATGAAGTGCCACCTTCTTCAGCCTGGGACATTGGGAAAAGGCAGAGTCGCCAATATTTTCAACAGTCTTGGGGATCGAAACAAGGACAAGCGTTCCACAGCCTTGAAACGCACGGTCTGGTATCTTTTGTACCGAGTCTGCAACCGAAACTTGAGTAACATCCTCTGGTATTTCGCTTCTGGGCTGCCCAGTGTAGACAAAGATCTCGTTCGAGTCGTTTCCATTCGTTTCCATTGAGTATCGTTTCTTCCATAATTGCAACTCTTGAATCTTGATCTTCAATCTTCAATCTTGCTTCATTGATCATCGCTCTATCGTTACAAAGGTCTGTCAGTCTGTCTGTCATCAGGTTGTCCGTTTTTCTTTCAATAGGACGATGCAAGACTGCTTCCAACACTGAGAAGGTTTTGCACACACGATGTTTTTTACCGTGCTTGTATTAATATTTAAAAAACACAAATTAAAATATCTTTGGCCTTGCAAGAAAACCCCAGACTGAAACCAATAATAATATCATATCATCACCATCAGGAACTTCCATCCTTGGACTTTCAGCATGATGTCGTCATCGAGCCGCCTAATCGTGTCGACTGTCTGGAATCATCATCGTGCCGCCAAAGCGCCATCCAGTTCGTTGGTTCGATTGTTTTCTTCCAAGAACAACCAAAGCAATGACGACTCGTCTTCGCTGTTTGATTCGGCCGGTGGTTACTTCAATTCCCTAAGGTGGAAGGCTGCCAACGCATTGACAGCTTCTCTACCAGAAGCTGAGCGAAATCAATTGTTGGAACGAATGGAACCAAAGAAAGAGTCCCAAAACAGCCAATCATCGGAACGAGAAGGGCCCACGGTTCCAGAACGATCCATTGATGAAATCATTGCGGCAACCAAGGCGGAAGAAGCTGCCAAGTACGAGAAACGGTGGGTCAATACTAAGGAACAACTGCAAAAAGAAGCCGAAGAAGCTGCTCTCAAACGAGCAGAAAATGACATTGCCCTCCAAAAGAGAAAATTGGCCTTTGAGGCCTGGCAGAAAAATTTGGAACGAGAAATGGAAAGCGCGTCCGCTGCAGCAACAACACCAACGAATGTCACTTCTGTAAAGGAAGAAGTCCTGGCCAGACTGGGAGATCACCCCATTCTAGGTCCCGTTCTAGTGGATTTGGGCAGCAAGCGATTGCATTTGGTCACTGCCGAAGCATTGGCGGCGGTTCCGGTTTGGAAGAAACAACGTACCTACCGACATCAACGTGCCAAGGAAATGGCCAACGACAAGATGACGACGCTTCATTTGGGTCTACCTGGAATCGTTGGTATTTACGAATCTAGTGACGGCAACCTTTCCATTATTGATGGACAACATCGCATTGGAATGTTGCGCGAGTTGAAGAATCGCAATCCAGAAGGCTTTGATTTTGAACAAATTCTGGTCGAGGTCTATCCCCAACAAGAGGGTATGGATGAGACGGAGCACGCCCAAGAATTCTTCTCAGAAGTCAACAAGGCCCAGCCTGTCCGACTGTTGGATTTGCCCAACATGGCAAAGGCATCCCATCTCAAAATGATCAATGGAGCTGCCAAGACAATTAAGGAAAAGTATCCAGATATGTTCAGTGAGAGCCAAAGATGTCGACCGCCACACCTGAACGAAGACAATCTACGGGACGCCATCTTTGCGGCCAGCGTCATTGATCGGCATTCCCTGAAGAGTCCCAAACAATTGCAAGATTGGATCATGACACAAAACGAAATCATGCAAGCCAAATTGCAAGAGGAAGAAGCCCAGCAAAAGGTCAATGCTAAAGCACTGGAAAAGGCCACAAAATTTGGTTTCTACTTGGGGCTGGGGAATGACTGGTATTACAACTGAGGATATGATGATAATATGATATTATTAGCAATTAGCAGTGCGATTTTGAACCATTCCTTTCTTTTGTGATGATGATTTTGCTCAATGGATTTTTTCGTGTGCCACAATACTGTGCTGTAGATTGTCGCCTGCAAGATACTTGAACAGCTTGAGACCGACATCGTGTCTCTCTTCTAGCTTTCTCCTGCCAATCCCAGCTCCACTGTTTTTGGACCTTTCTAGACCAGAGAAATCATAGACTAGCCAGATTGTTGTTTCTTCTTCATCCTTCCCCATGCCTTCACTGACCGTTCGGTGTACCCGTGGCTTTGTACTTTTTGGCGCCTCTACCGGTGAAATGATAGACGAACCAAAACACGGTGGAAACCGAAGAAATAATGACCAATCCAAAGACCACTTGATGGAACGACAATCCGTATCGATCCATGAGATAGCCACATAAATACGCCGACAAGGCTTCTGCAGCAAGAGCGACAGCATAATCCATGGACATGACTCTTCCCATCATTTCCGTAGAAGAAAATTTTTGAAGCAAAATGGAACTATTGATCCAAAGGACAGATGATCCTGCCGACCGTATCATGGCAAAACCGCTTAGGATCCAAAAAGATGGCGGACCCCAACACCAACCCATATACCCAATGGTTGCTACTGCAAATGACAAGACACACGACAATTGGAGGGTCACAGGTCGTTCAGCATCCATGAATGGTTCTGTGACAAATGGACCAATCAAGCACCCTATTCCCACAAAGCCAAACATTACACCCAGCTTGAAATCAACGCTGAGAGCATCATCGCCTAGCTCGGACAAGACAACATTCAGAATATCACAAGCACCGTAGGCTAGTCCAGCAAAGGCCTTGACAAAAATCAGAGCTGCAAAGTAGGAAGAGAACAAATACTTGACTCCATCCAAATAGCTCGTGCTGTGCCCTGGGTCGGGTTGGAAATTGGTATCACCTTCTTCCTTCTTAGGTACTGCCCGGTATTCTCCTCGAACCATCCAAATGAAAAAAGCGCTAAGAACGAAAGTGCCAGCATCAAGGCCTAAAAATAGTCACGATGAAAGATATGGATGAGATTGGTGACATGGAAATCAGGTGAGTCACAACTCAAAACAGCATTTGTGTATACCTACAGAAGCATGTTCGAACTCCAAGTGCATCCACTACAAACCCTGATAATGCAGCGCCAAAAGCTTGCATCGCACTCCAAACAAGTCCTTGCATGGTAGTGGCCTTTTTCAGATCCTTATCGTCATCGTTGACCAACATAGGAATGATACTGTAGGATGATGGCTGGTATAGCCCACAGAGTGCCTGCTGTGCAAAACTCGCCACATATACTATCGGAATGGATTGCAATTCATATGCCACTACAAAAAGCAATGTGACCACGGCACTGATGACATCCAACCCCAGCATCAACTGCCGCCGGTCGTATTTGTCTGCCAATTTGCCACCCAAGGAGGAAAATATGACATTCGGCAAAAGTCGCACTAGCACTAGAATGGAAACTGCCGTCCTCGATTCTTGATTCAGACTAGCCAATTTGGTTTCAATTAAATCTATTGAGGCAATGTAGGATAACCATTCGCCACAATTGGTCACGAGAAGACTGAAAATGTAGAATCGTAAATTTCGATTTCGATTCAATAATGCAATGTAAGAGTCTTCCTTGTTGTCCTCATGTCCTGGCAAGTCATCATCGTAATCGCTGTAACCATTTCGTTGCTTGTGAGTCTCGTTGGAAGGCAGCAATGGAAATATGAGCGGTGTTGGCAAGGTTCCATACGAGTCTCGTTCTTCATCCACAGATGCCGATTTTCGTATCGTCTCATCGTCGATCAGAGGAGTCCGATCGTACGCTGATTCTTCGTCATTCTTCGGACAGTTTTTACCCTTGCTAGTGTTCATCCTTGGATTGCGGCGCCTTCTTTACTCGTCTGTCTATGGACTTGCATTATTTTCGAATGGAGACTTTCAAATTTTTAATATTGTTTGGGCGGAGAAAATGGGCCTGGTTTAGTTCTTTAATTGAAACTGGGTCGCAACTGATGATGATATCAATATTATCAGCAAGTAACAGCGCAACTTAAAATCCCTTTCTTGTTGTGGGTACTATGATTTTGCCCAACGAAAATGTCGGATTTTTGCTTGTGCTAGATTGTCGCTTTCAGGTGGATACTGTACATTGACACTGAATGCCAACACTGTACCAATCACCAATAGCTTGAGACCGTCACCTTGCTTGTGATTTTTTCGCACCAATCCCAGCTCAACTGTGTCTCAAACGTATCTCAGGAATTTGAACTTCTTGTCGCCTTTTTAGGCACCGGGACCAGGGAAATCATAGACGGGCGGACTCTGTACTTCACGGCGCCTCTGCCTGAGAAGTGATAGATGAACCAAAACGCAGTGGAAATCAGAGAGATCATGGTCAATCCAAAGACCACTTCATGAAACGACAGTCCGTATCTGTCCATGAGAAAGCCACATAGATAAGCCGACAAGGCTTCTCCAGCTAGAGCGACGGCATAGTCCATGGACATGACCCGACCCATCATTTCCGTGGAAGCGAATTTTTGAAGCAAAATGGAACTGTTGATCCAAGTGACAGAAGATCCCGCCGACCGAAGTAGGGCGAAAAAGCAGAGGACCCAAAAGGATGGCGGACCCCAGCACCACCCCACATACCCAATGGTTGCAATTGCAAAAGACAACGCACACGACAGTTGCAGGGTGGATGGTCGTTCAGCATCTACGAATGGTTGCGAGACAAGTGGTCCAATCATGCATCCCGTCCCCACAAAGAAAAACAAGACACCCAGCTTGAAATTACTACTGAAACCGCTACTCAGACCACCCGTGTCATCGTCTTGTTCGGACACGACAACATTCAGAACATCGCAAGCCCCAGAAGCAAGCTCACCAATACCCTTGACAAATATCAGAGCGGCAAAGTAGGAAGAAAACAAATACTTGACTCCATCCACATAGCTTGCGCTGTGAACCAAGTCTGGTTGGACAGGATGGACAATCGCACCAGCTTTCTTCTTCGGATTCGTCTTGTATTCTCCCCGAACCGGCACTGCCCTGTATTCTCCTCGAACCATCCACATAAACAAAGCGCTGAGAACGAAGGTGCCAGCATCAAGGTCTGAAACCAATACAAGATGCAAGATAAGGTGAGATTGTTGACATGAAATCCAATGGAACATTTGAAATACATATAAGATACCTACAGAAGCATATTCGAACTCCAAGTGCATCCACTACAAACCCTGACAATGCAGCACCAAAAGCTTGCATCGCACTCCAAACCATTCCCTGCATGGTGGTAGCTTTTTTCAAATCGTTGTCGTCATCATTGACCAACATGGGAATTATGCTATAGGAAGATGGCTGGTATAGCCCTGCAAGCGCTTGCTGTGCAAAACTCGCCACATATACTATCGGAATGGATTGCAATTCATATGCCACTACAAAAAGCAATGTGACCACGGCACTGATGACATCCAATCCAAACATTAGCTGTCGTCGGTCATATTTGTCGGCCAATTTGCCACCCACTGAAGAAAATATGACATTCGGCAAGAGACGCACTAGCACTAGAATGGAAACTGCCGTCCTCGATTCTTGATTCAGCCTAGCCAATCTGGTTTCAATTAAATCTATTGAGGCAATGTAGGACAGCCATTCACCACAATTGGTCACCAGAAGACTGAAAATGTAGAATCGTAAATTTCGATTTCGATTCAGCAATGCAATGTAAGAATCTTCCTTGGTGCCCTCGTTTCCTTGCAAGTCCACATTTTGATTAGCGTGGACATTTCGTTGTTTGAGATTCGTCGGCTTTACTAGCGGTGTTAGCAATATCCCATAGGTGCCTCGTTCTTCATCATCCACAGACGATGCCGATTTTCGTCGCGCTTCGTCACTGATGAGAGGAGTCCGATCGTACGCTGGTTTTCCTTCTTTCTTGGGGCGGTGTTTGCCCTTTATAGCGTTCATCTTCGAGCTGTGCGTGGCTTCTTGTGGATGGATGATGACTGCATTATTTTAATGGCAAACTTTTGATATGTGTGCCAATGAAATACTGCAGCACTATGCCATGACCTTTGTTCGCTTGTCTGTGCAATATTTTGAATCCCCTTTTTGGCCAATTGGATTTTTTCGGAAAGAAAATGTCTTCCGCTTCTGGACAGCGCACAGACGAAAGAATTTGAACTCGAGAAATACTCAAATTGAAACTACCCGGTACGAACCGAAGGGTGCGTGTCACGAATTGACAATAATAATTAGCCACATGCACTGTACCTACTGTAGAGGAGAATAATGATACAAGCAACAAATATTTACATCCATTACCAAATACCCTACTCCAAAATCTAATCTATTTTTTTCACAGTCACCTGACTCTTACTTATACCAACGTAAAGCTGCCATCATCGTTGTCACCGAGGTGGTCTCCTTCCTCATGATGATCTTCTTCCGTTTGTATGACCTCTCCATGTTCGTTCACAATCCGTATTTGAATCCACTTTATCGACTTTCCATTACTGCGATTCACTTCATCTTCTTGATACTCCATTGCTATCCTTGTATGCTGCATATGCTCGTTGACTTGGTTGGTGGCTCCCTCCAATGCTCTCTCTATTCGCTCCACCACAAGGCCGTTGGTTTGTGGAAGGACACGGATCAACCAACAAGTGGAACCAGCGACTACGAACATGAGCATGGGAAAGAGGACATAGGCAGTGATATCGACTTCCGCGGCGGTAAGATTTGTTACCTTCACCGCCGTGTAGACAATCACAAACACCAAGAACATTCCTCCCAAGGCTCGCTGCACAAGAGTTGATAGAATTTGGTGGTGGGTCTGATCAGAAACTTCTTGTACACGTGCATTTATAAAATCAGCATCCTCTCAAGGTCACACTTACCGCGATTCGAGAGGAGAGTCGTGTCAGGGCTACCCAGGGTTGCATGGCATCGTCCAAATCATTGCAGAGCCGTTCCCAAGCCTCGTCGTTCATGTACGGCTTGAGAGCTCTGGGTTTTTGTCGTTCCACGCGGTTGGAATCTCCGCAAATCTCAATCCTGGAAGAATGTGTCATCATGGTGGTTGAATCAAAAGCAAATCTATATCGTTGTATGGTAAAGCAAATGTGCTAGTTTTCGTCAATTTCTTTTATATTGGAGGGAACAATCAATTATCCGGCACAAGCCATCAAAGTTGTGCAGTGGAACAGCTTTTTCTTTTTGTTCGTTGGGTGACTTTCCCACCAAAACTTGACTGCCTTCCGGGGCCGAATTTTGCGACCATCGACATATTCTTAATCGTCCGGATGGAAGCACGGACTAACTCCAGTTTGTACTGTAGTGACCAGCTGAAACGTATATCGTCTGATATACGGTAACGTCTGTACGTCCCATCACCATATAAACATAGCTTCTCGTGGATAGAAGCACAGGATATCGTTTGATGCTTCATGGCACAATTTTTTAAATATCATGGCATATTTCACTCCAAGAACACATCAAGGACACGCAAAGAGAGAAAAGAGGGAACGCCCCAGCCAGCTGGGGGGCATGCATTCTCTGGAGGAAACACGATGTGTCAGCTACTGTGAATCGTGGTGATTGGACCATGGGGCATATCTTCGACGCCCAGCACTGCCTAGTACTAGGCTAGCTAGTACTACTCTATAGTAGTAGTACTTCAAGAAGAAGTGTTACCTTCCCAAAAGAGGTGATCAGTCTTGCAAGGGGGTCTACATCGTGCATCCTCTAACTCTTGCCCCGACAATGAGACGAAATTGAAAATACTCCAACCATTTTGGTCAAGGAGGAGATGAAGTAACAATTCCCTGTCATATCTTGGGGGGAAGACCTTAAAAAGTTTAGTAGAAATGATTGTTATATTTTTCTATACTTCGTTGTTTGGATGTGAGGTACTAGTGCATGTGCCCTTCTCAATTAATTGACACGTAGTATTCCAATAGATACCAAAATGGCCGCCGACCCGATACTTAGGAGAGAATATGTCTGGTTGATTCTAGGGGAAGAAGTGCCAAGAAAAAAAACATACAAATAAACGATTCACAGTCAACTAATATCTTATATTATACTGGGGTGTTATATTATACTATGGAGACCTTCGGCTATGAAGTCATGCGTTCTAGGAGCGAAACTTGAACAACGGTATCGCCACTCCACCACATCCCTGCTTTTCGTCGTGACAGAAGCCGCCACTAGTGTTCTGGGCTCAATCCAATTTTGGATTTAAACCAGAAGTTTTTTGTATCTCTGCTGGACCCAATGGTTCGCTGCAAAAGGCAAGGTTGCAAACAGACTGTCATCGGTTTGACAACGATATCGGCCATCTGGCAGTGATCTTCTCAGCAGAGAACACAGACATCCAAGCAAAACAACGACCGGTATCAAATCAAAGCATCGATAGCCTCATGGACCAGCCATCACAGAACAGTGTTGATTGTTGAGTCACGGGATGAAGAAGTGTTGTCGAAACTGGAGATGAAGAAGGAATGCCATACAGCATGTTCTTCACAAAAGAGAGCCAAAATAATGCTCCTGACGGTCCTTTGTCTTCATCATGGCCATGATAATATCAACAAGAACTCAACAGACGCCAACACAAAGAGGATCAAGTAGCAAGTTATCGTGTCCCCAATAATGTGGTGGAAATCAAAGCCCATTTCCGTCCACGGCTGATTGATATGTTTGGCAACAAAACAAGAGGATTTCAACCTTGCACAACGCCAGCAAAAGTGGGCAAATGTGCATGTGCTGGATGCGAAGCCGAGTCTTGTGCAAAAGAAGGACCTGGAGCGCACCGTTGCAAGTTTTGTTGCAAGTTTTGTGGTATCCCCGTCCATGCAGCGTGTTCCGTTGATAGATGATGGGTTGACAAAAGCGATGCCACCAACCCTTGCCTGGTACAGGTTTTGCAGTGAGCCATTATTGAGAAAATCCACAGCGAGGCCAGAGGTATTACATTTACATAAATATCTTGGTTTCTCGTGTCTCGTTTCGTTTCATTTGTTCGTTCCATCGATATTGATGTTTGATGTTTTCGTACATATTTGAATATATACCGTGCGGTATCTGAAACCAGACCAGTATTCTGGTCTACGTTCAAATTAGTACGATTTCTACGTAACAAAATGAGTCCCAACTTGAATTCGCATCGTGTATTCGTAACCCGGAGTGCCAATATACTTTTCCGCAATACCATGCGGGAACTAAAATTTCACTAGTAATCGTATGGTAGATGATTTCCAGGTATTGCGGAAAAGTATATGATTTTGATATACGTTTCGTGCGGAAATGCGCGGTAATGATATATCCTTCAGTAAGTCTGTAGTGTGCTCGCGTTCGGTGACATTAGGGGAAGAATGGCAGAAATCTGGGGATATTCAATATTGAAACCATGCATTCAAACGAGAACGAATGCTTTTTGAAAACTTGCGCGTCATACTTTTTCTCTCCAATCAATAATCAATCTTGTTTCCATGCGAATCCCATACTGTACATCATCATCATCATTATCATCTAACAAGTCTTCGCTTCAATAATCCAAGAACTCGCTTCAGCTTTTAATAGCTACTAGCTTTTATTCCAATCGTCTTATACACAAGGAGCATGATGATACTTGTTCAAGATGCTTTGATGATATATTTGGGCATTGAAATTGCCTTTGTCATTGTATTTTACGCCCAGCTGCTACCTTTTGTGAATCGACCATGTCAACCAGCACCTTATCTGGCCTATGGAAAGGATAGAAAGAGGCTGTTGCTTCGAGTATTGAAACGAATAGAAGATACCAGTAAACGAGATGGGACTTGTCCCAAGGAGTCTTTAAAGGCATTCCTCCGAAACTGGTTTCATGTTGATCATGTACCATCTGATTTGTCTCAAATTGCTACTGCTGGAACCATCAATATTCCAGCTACTCGACATGAAGAAGAATCATCATCATCATCCACTATACCCGTATTGAATCCTTCCTATTCTACCTGCACGTCATCCAGTTCTTCCTGCGGATCCGTGCAGAGCGATGATGACGATTCAACTACTACTACTACTACTACTACTACTATTATACCGACTTTGACATGCACCAAAAAGTCGGAAACAACACAAAGACCGCCTTTTCCATTGTACAAGGAAGACATGGATTCCTTTTTTGCGTTTGCTTTCTTTTCCAAAGAGTTGGGTGCTATGCGATCGTGGGAACGCAAAGAGTTGAAGAAACTTTTTCAAGTACTGGAAAGGAGACACAACCTTACCTTTCCAAACAAAAAGGCCGGTGAGGATACGTCTCACATGTTTCATCCAAGACGCATGACATTGGAACCAGTCGTTCCCATTTATCGACCTCTGATTGTTTACTTGTTAGTGCTCGGCATGAGATGGGTTGGAGCCCTTGTACTCCGGCATGTCTATGGATTTGAGAAGTTTGTAACAAAACACGGCATGATTTGTTGGTACCGATCAGGAACGAAAGCTGACAGTCGTACAGATCAACGATCGAATGATCACAAAGGTGATTCTTCTTCTTTGATGATGCCAATTTTGTTCTTCCATGGCATTGCTCCCGGTGGTGTTGTAGGGTATCTGCCGATTGTACTACATGGACTAGCAACGGAACCGGAACGGCCAGTATTCTTGTTTGAGAATATCTCGATATCGTGTGTCTTGGATTTTAAACCATTGACGGAAAAACAAACTGTGGATGGAGTTATGGAATGTCTCAAACGCTTTGGGGCAAACCAACAGAATCTATCACTAGTCGGCCATTCCTTTGGATCATGTCCCATTGCTTGGTTGGTGGCATCCAAAAAAATGGAACAGCAAATCAAGCAAGTCGTCTTATTGGATCCAGTTGCAATCTTGCTCAGTGAACCAGATGTCATGGTGAACTTTTTGTATGCGGAAGCAATGGACAAGACTCGTATAGTGGCATCCTCGGAGATCATGACACAGTCCTATCTCCGTCGACACTTTGCTTGGTACAATAGTGAGCTTTACGTGGAGGATGTAAAGTGCCCCATGCTGGTCTTTTGTTCAGAACACGATGAGATTGTCAATTCTGAAAAGGTGAAACAAGAAATGCAACGGCACCACCAACAGGGGCATCAGTTCCAATGTTGGGAAGGGGTGGGACATGGTGCTTGCATTGTGAATCCATACAAATGGACCGAAATTAAGAGACAGATGCTGGAACAAGAACTACACCTACTTCGAGCCAGATGATTTTGAAATATCTTGTAATTTAATGAATATAAGTGTTGTGTCGGATTGTTATCCTATTGTCAAAAAAAAACTTTGTATTTTTCATTTTTCTATTTCAATTACAATTTTCAACTAGTCTTTAGAGATTCTATTGCTTGTTTTGCGGACTCATTCAATTGGTCCAAATGATCTGCGTCTATCGTATCTTTTCGAGCCTCCCACCCAGTCTTCATCTTTTCAATGGAGGATTCCATGCCAGACATTTTCTCTGCCCATGATGGACGACAATATGGAGTCAGAATATGTACCGTCTCGAGAACGGTCTGTTGTGCCGCGGGTGCCACCATCAAATCGTTCTCAAGGACGGTGGCTGTAGCGCCGCACCATTCAGAGGTAGTAAACGACTCAAGAATCTTGGTATTGACATCAGGCGATGCCATTTCAGGGTGCAGGATGATATCAGAGACAATGTCACCTGCTAGTGAGAGCAACTTCTGTACTACCTTTTGACCCAAGGTTTGCAATTGATCCGAAGCGATTGCTTCAAATGTTTTGCCCAATCTCATGGCACCGTCCGATTTGACAATGTGGGCCTGCGCAAGTCGATTGCCTCGCAGCAATGACCCGATACCGTAAATCGCCTTTCCCATCAAGTTTCGGATATCCCATGATCCTGGATCGTCGTATGGTTTGCAAACGACTGCGATCAGTTCGTCAATGGCTGTCGTGCGCTCTTTGCTGTTGTTCATAACAAATGGTTCCACAGCATATGGGGAAAACTCTGCCGTATTCTTTACCGAAGTTCCCATAGCCCAGGCGGCATTGGATTGGACCGATCGGATCTTGGTCTCCATGCTTCGCGACAGTCTGGAAATTGTCTTGTTTTGTGGTACATGGACTTCCTCTGAAAGTAGGGACGAGAGCAGTGGCCACCCACCAAGTGTATGAAAGTCTCGTGACATGTCCACGTCACCTAGTTGGTATTCCAAATCCTGAAGGACAGAGACAATGTGCGAGACTTGTCCGTAAGGAACCTCTTCGTCCAGTTCCATCCCATTCAAATGAGCGATTGGATCCTTCAGATACTCCTGAATACTCTTTATCCTTTCCTTTAAAAGCTTTGGCATGTCCATCAACTGCAACTCCAGTTCTTTTAGTTCTTTTTGTCGTCTCTCCCAAATATCTGCCATACGAGATTCGAATTCTTTTCGTTCTTTCGAAGTTATTTTCCTTGAAGTTGTGCTTTGGGGCAACTCTGGAAGACCCCCTATCCTTTCTTTCTCCTGATCTGGCAGTTTTGAGAGGGTCCGATGCATCATGTTGAAATCATAAGTTCCTTCTCCCTTTTTGCTTTTTTCGGTGATGGCCGATTCCGCGTCGTTTTCAGCTTTTGGAACAACTTGGATACTACCATCGCCCTGAATGATGGCCGCTTCGGTTGAAGTTGCTGATTCGCCATCGTCGTCCTCAGTCTGTTGCTTGACCCACTTTTCCCCTGTGGTCATGTCCATTCTAACGTGCATTCCAGCTGGTATGGTATCATTCTCTCCAAGAAGCTGCCACTCTTTCGTAACCTCGATTTCTTTGGCCCATACGCCATGTTGATAGTTCTGATGGAAAAGGATGCTGCATACTAGAGCGATAGCAGCGGAACTTCGAAAAGATTTAATCATCTCAGCAGGTGCAGGTGGTTTGTGGAATTTTGTCTCGGAGTGAGATTATGAAATCGAAGATATGGGTTTGTTGTGGAGTGTTCTGGTTTTGGTTCTGTTGGATTGCAACGTGGCGACGCGGTTGAAGCACATACCGTGTACACGTTTGGAAGAAGATAGAAATTCGAATACCGTACTCCTTGGAAAAGATACTGTACTATAGCAGCTAATCGCCTTCAGATGTGGACAGTATGAAAAAATAAATGTATACTTCTAATAATCCCCTTTAAAGTGAGTTGGCTGCCTTCATCATGATATCATCATGATATCTCAATGGTATCGTCCACGTCTTCAGTATTATTCATCGTTTGAAAACAGAAAACTTGTACGCAGTCTTGACTCCAGCTGTTCGACTTTGACCCCTGCGCCCCACTCCTTGTAGTATTGAATGGCTATCTGCAGCCGTTCGCCCACCTTCGCTGTCATTGATCTTTCTGATAGAAAATCAGCATACCGCTCGTTGATCAAAGCAATGTGATGAAGGTGACCAGCTGCTGTCGCAGCTGCAATAGCTTCTTCATACTTTTGCTCGGCCATCTCGTATTTGCCGTCAAGAGCTAACTGCTCGGCAGTCAAGAACATACAATAATACTGGACGTTTGGATTCCCAGCTTGGGCCCACTTTGCAATCTTCTTGAGCAACCTTCTGGCTTCTCTTCTGTACTTTCTTGTCTTTGTGATACGAGCGGCGGCATACACAGGAACAGCACGGTGAAAGCTTTCAACAGTGTTCAGAACACTATTCGGTAGTAGCTTGTCATACGACTCGCCAACCTCAAGTGCTCGCTTTGCAGCAGCCTCGTAGTCGGCGTTGAACAAGAGGAGCTCGCCCTCGGCGAAGTGGACGAATGACAAATGCGCTGGATTTGTTTCGCTACCTTTCTCAGCAGTGTAGATGTCACCTTCGAGCTTGGAAGAAGAACAGTCGTTCAAATTTTTCATCATTTGCCACATCACTTGAAGAGCTCCTGCGTGTAGCAACTGCGCCGTATCTTCGCATTGGACCATGGCTGAGGGAGCATCCTCCAGCATCGCAGCAATCGGCTTTCCAATATTGTATGCCAGAAACAATTGATGAGCGAGAAGATTCCAACAAGCAAACTCTGTATCACCAGCTCTCATGCCTTCTGAAACGGCATCTCGCATAGGTGGTATCAGCTCTTCAAATGGCTTTACCCATGACAATCCAGGGCCGTAACAAATAAATGTGGTCTCGCTGTTGTGTATGCCCCGAAACTTCTTCATCATTGAAATGGCTATCATGTTGAACTTTGTTGCCGTTTCGACATCTTGCATCCCGATAATGATACCACTGGCAAGAGATGCAAAGCTCTTTGCTGAAAATTCGTTGACACCGTGCTCAAGCGTCATATCCACAAGTCTGCAAGCGCAAAGGAGGTATAATAGCATGTCTCCAAGAACAAAGGAGACGTACAACACCTTCGAGAAGGCAGTTGCAATGGCTTTTTGCTTTGGATCCTCAATGACAACCATTTCATCATAGAAGCTAAGTGGCTTTGAATTCACCTTCTTGATGGTCTTCATCAACTTTACAAGCGATTGCACTGGTACCAACTTTTTCGTCCACGTCACCCGACATCCGAGGTCTTTTAGCACCTGCATGTAGCACTCCAGCGACTTGTCAAATTGAAGCCCAGTATGGGCTACTGTACTGGCTTGCGCCATCTTCAATGGAAGAGCTTCCATTATGGAAAGGTCCTTTTGCCTCAAGACCTCACTACTGTAGCGATTTGCAGCTTCAACATTCCCCACCATAATCTCCATCTCAGCTCCCATTGTATAAAGTTTCAACGTCAAGGGCCGATTCGATGACCACTTGTCTTCTTTCAGTAGGCTCAGTCCATGAGCTGCGTACTCGGCAGCAGATTGGAAAGCCGAAAGGTCCCGCGCCTTCTCTGCGGCTCGCAAGTTGACAGGTGCAAACTCAGTTAGCTTGAGCACATTTCCGTTGTTGATGAGATCCACAATGGGAAACAAGTTCTCTTCCACTTGTTTCTTTTCTAAGCCATAATATAGTGTTCGACCAATGTCCAACTGGAACGACTCGCGACGCTCACCAGTCAAGGAGAGTGCTGCCTCTCGGAGCACGTCGTGAACCCATCTGTATTGACCAGTGTCACCATTCTCCAAGATTTCTTCCTTCACGATTGCTTCAAGAAGGGACTTTGTGTTGTCTATTCTGCTCTCTACCAGTCTGCGACCATATGTTGTCCAAACAAGATCGATCGTCGCCTCGTCGAATGTTGATCCAAGATATGATGCACATTGCAATAGTGCTTGGATTTGAGGCGACAACTTAGTAAGACGATCGTGGAGCATGACAACAACATTAGCAGTTGACATGGTTGCATCTTCAATTTTGTTTAGATCCCACGACCATGACTTTGTAGTGTCATCTTGTAGAATCAAACCTTCATAGTAGAGCATCTTCAAGAACTCCAAAACGAAGAATTGGTTACCATGGGTTCGTTTCAAGCACAGTGCAGCAAGATTGCATTTAGCTTCATTATCAGAAGAAGGCAAGGCTGCTGCGATAACTTGCTCGATCTCGTCTGTACCAAAAGGCCCGATCTTTATTTCAGTCAAATTAAATTTGTACATCTCTCTCTTCTCGCGTAATGCGATCATCTTGTTGTGAAGAAGACTGTTCTCGTCAACTTCGATAAGTCTGTAGCACCCAATGATCATCAGAGCATTTTGATTTTGAGCATCGGAGATCAAGAAATCCAATACTTGCAACGATGAGATATCTGCCCACTGAAGATCGTCTAGGAAGAGAACCAATGGGGAGAAGACTGAACAGAAGACTCTCATCAGGACACGAAACGCAAATCGCAAGCGTTCGAGTTTGCTTTCAACCTCGTCCGCACCAATGTTGGTGACTTCTGAATCAGTAAAAGTGTCGCCGACAAGATCTTTGAGCTCTGGAATAAGATGAACCAGCAAGTCAACCTCGCTACCAAGTGCTTTCTTGATTCCAGCTTGAACAGCGCAAACCGTTTCGGCTTTGGATTCCATGATCTTCCGGCACAAGTCACCAAACGCTTTCGAGATACCAGAGTATGGTTCAGAGCTAGCATTCATATCGAATTTTCCTTGTACAAACATCCCCGTGTTGTGTTTGGATACCTCTCCTTCAAGAGACAGTGCGATGGTGGACTTCCCAGTACCAGATTCCCCACCGATGATAAAGAGTTCCTTGCTTCCCTCATTCTCTGGCTCTGAAACCAGGCGTTCGAAGCTCGCCTTGAGTTTGGCGACTTCTCCTTCCCTCCCAATGAGAGCCATTGAGTCAAAATTCAGAGCCGGTTTTGAGGAAGAACCGTTTTTCTGATATCTGAATGCCATTGGTTCAATTGCTTTTGGCTTTCGAAGTTCGGAAGTCTTAATTTTGCCAGTCCGAATGGAAGCAGCGAGCGTATAGGCAGTGGTATCATCTGAATACGAGTACTGCGTCGAGGAACAGGCACTCTTCACAGTGAAACTGTGTGCAATAGATTTTGATGCAGACCGAGCGTCATCGTCCGACAGTCTTGACCGAACTGATGGTGATTCGTTGATATTATACGAAGGCTGGTTGTTAGGAGGCATCGTATGTCCAATAATCTCAGCTTCAGTTTCTGTTTCTTTTTTGTGATGTGAATGTGAATGTGAACGAAAAGGAAGTGTGTCTCTTCGAAACACCTGCCAAGTCTGTGAGCGTGAGACTGAAACGGAGAAGAAACTGATCTTCGCAATCTGAATGGTGTTAATCAAAATTACGATCTCACTTATTGATATTTCAAAGCGAGTCAAACGCCTGTGGTGTTTTTTTCGCACGAACACAAGGGGAAAAAGCATGGATATTTTTCAATTATAAGTGGATTCGAAACAGAAACGAATCAGCTTGTTCGACGGGTTCAAACAAATAAGTAATGCATCCTGTTTGCATACTCCCGCTCACAAAAAATGCTGAGTGGCAAGCGCGGGGGTAGAACAAGCTGAATTGAAGATTCGGTGACATTCCACTAGAGTCAAAGACTAGCTCGCGTTTGTTCAAATAATCTAACGTAGACGAAAGCTCGAGAACGAATCATTGGATTCCTTTCATCATACTGACGACGGTCGAACGACCGTCACAATAGCATTGCTCAGCAACACCAAGTCCGATCAGTTTATCGAACTTGTGTGCGAGTATACGTCAAGAAATAAGGTTTATTTCTTTCTTTCAATACTCTTTCATCAAGTTCTTCGGCGTCCTCGGCGAAGAGTAGTAGATCCCAGTTGCGATCTACGAAAACTGCCTGTGTCTGTTGTCGTCCCACGCACTTTCACACTTGACCTTCAGTGCTCCTCCGTCTTCTCCTTTCCGTCGTGCCACCCCTGATCGCAGCCTAATCATGAAGTTCCTGACTGATGCTTTCGCGTCGGATCACCGAACCCGCGGACAAAGCTTCTGGGATCAACTCACTGGTCTGCCCCATCAAGATTCCCTCATCCATGATCACATCATCAATTCTCGGCGAGGAATGCGTTTGGATAAAACCATTCATCAGTCATTCGGCCACCCTGTCACAGATACCACCAAACCTGGATATCAGGTGACGTGCCCCGAGGATTTTGAACCAGAAGATCAACGAATGGAGGAATTGGAGCAGCTTTTCGACCAGTGGAACGATCCTACTTTGACTTTCGCCCAGCGCATGAGAAATGGAGAAACAATGTCTCCTGGTTTTGCCCTTTTGGTCAGGAAAGGAGAAGATGGACAGCCATGTCATATCATGTTTATTTCCAATCCGGTCTTGACCAAGCCAGATGTAATGGAACCCAATACTTTTGGAGCTCCGGCTCCCTTTGGGGAAATTGTCAATAATGATATTGCGCAAAAGTATGTAGGTGATCCTACAAAAAGGACCCATTGTCTTTTGGGATCGCTGTCCGGACATACTTTTGCCTCTTATGGAACCGGCAATCGTATTGAATTTTCAAAATCTCTCCTTCCCGTTTTGATGACAGACGGAGCCGCTATTGGAAATAAACCTTTTAACCGTGATGATTGGAAAATTCTGTTTTTTCCAGCAATGTCTGCTTGTCCTGTGGGATTTGTTTGGCCGGCGAGTGATGGTTTCGACGCCTTCCAAGAGAGTATTACCAATCGAAAAAAGATATTCTCTGGTCTTCTTCACCTATTGACGTCAAGGAAGACTATTATTCAAAATTGGTTCAATGCCGTTAAGGCCAGTCCTGCAAGTTTTGCGGTCCCAGTGGTGGATGCTTTGCCGTTTTGGTCCTGCTTTCCCACTGAGCATGACCCAGTCGACGCCCGTGTTTTGGATGTAGCCTTACTAGCTCCATTCCAAGAACAGATGGATCGTTTCCTTCGGAGCCACTTGATGCAACTCATATACAGAAGTGGATCCTTACCTACGTCGACTCTTGGGTTCAAGATGCGTGCTCGGGTCAGGATGCATAATATGCGCGTGGCGGAGTCTTATCCTACTGCCTTGGGTATTACTTTACCACCTGAGTGTCAGGCCTTTGTCAACTACCTCTTCCCTTTTGAGGATGAAGACAAGGGATGGGATGGTCGTATCCCTAAATGGTACAAGACGCTTGATTTAAATTCGGGAACTGAGGTTCCGGACTCGTACCTGCAATACACCCCTCGCCCGCTGCCGTCGTCTGCCCAAGATCCTGATGATTATGTTACACAGAGGTTGACAGTGCCTCCAGTAGCACCTCATGCCGCTTTGCAACCGATGGATGATGATCTGGCGGAATTCCTTCAAGCTACCAAGCGACACAAGCCCAATTCCCGTCGATCACCGGTCCATCCGCCAGTTACCCCCGCTCCAGAAGACTCTTTTGTCTTGACGGAGGAAGGAAACTTCGAAGATGGACATGGTACTAATTATGTTCCCCATGATGATCCAGGCGGGATGCAACCCCGTACTGATGGACAAGTACTGCCAGCGGTGACACCGTCTCCTTCGACATATCGCCCACTGGATCATGTCGCTCCGAGCCACACTTCTTTTCCGTCGTCTCGTGACCAACATCCAGATTCCAGTTGTTTCAGAAATCCTTCAAGGGGCAATCCGTTTGCTGGTGTTATGAACGGTACGAACATACCACTCCAGTCGCCAGCCCAAGGTATGCCTCATGATGGGATCCACGATTCGACATGGAATTCTCCGTTTCAACAAGGTCCTCGTGTCAGAATTGATTCTACCCCTCGTGGTCCGTCGCCTTTCGCTGGTCATTGTCCCACGACGTCACCGGCAATGGGGTTACCCACACCGGTGCACCACCACCAGATGTTTCCCGCCTCCCCAGGGCTGCCTATGCATCACATGTATCCACATTCGCATATGCCGATGTCTTACCAACCAGGGTATGATGGTACGATGTATCCGATGAGTCATTATCCGACCCACCCAACATTCCATACCAATAAGCCGAATTCTCGGTCCAAATATACCCCCATGCGTTCGGCAAGTATTAATTCGGAAATGGAACGTCGCTGTTGTCCTCCAGAGTTGAAAGCGATTGGATATTGGTTGGTGCATCCACTTCCTCCTACTGTGGGCGTGGTT